CGCGCGAAGCGCGGAAGCTCTGACATTTCATTAAATTATTAGAGAAAGAAGACGATTCGTTGTATCGTGTCCTTGTCTGATTGCAATTCGCCCCTGCCCTATCGCGCGAAGCGCGGAAGCTTTGACGTTTCAATGAATTATTACTCTTAATCCTTTTCTGTAATCATTTTCACCCATCCAGCTCCAAGCGCGGAAGCTTTACCGTTTCATTAAATTATTAGAGAAGGAAGACGATTTGTTGTATCGTGTCCTTGTCTGAATTCAGTTTTTTCTCCTCCCGCGCAAAGCGGGGAATCTTTGTCGTTTCATTAAATTATAAGAAAGAGAAGATGATACGTTGTATCGTGTACTTTGACGTTTCATTTAATTATAACTCTTAATCCTAGTCTGAATTCAGTTGACCCCCTTCCGCGCAAAGCGCGGAATCTTTGCCGTTTCACTAAATTATTAGAGAAAGAAGACGATTCGTTGTACTGTTCTCTATATTAATCCTTGTTTAAATTCAGTTTCCTCACATGATGTATGTATGGAACGTTCGTTCGCAAATATTTGCATGCACAGCCCAAGACAGTGGTGGGTAGCATCTCCCGGCAGTGCTTGTCGCAATAGCTTCTGGAAAGGAATTGTATACTACTGTTAGTGTTAACGGCCACTAATTTGGCCCATTAGTGACTATACAAAATATATGCTCTTCCTGGCTATTTGGGAATGTGACAGTTTGCAACAGAAATGAAGAAACGCGAATTTTGTTGAAAATCATGTGATATCACGAACATTTATTAATCACTTGTACGAAATTGAGAATAATTCATGGATTGATTTTATTGGAGGGTTGAACCAACCAGTACGCCAGTGACATAGACCTACATCAGCTTTTCAATAAAACAAAAATAAGTTGTGACATAATAATCTTTCTCCAAAAATGAAAATGTTTTAGGAAATATCAGGAAATAAAATAAAAATAAAGATACAATGACGTGAATTTTAAAAAGGGTGAACGGAAACAACATAACAACTAGTGAACTATCTTATAAGTCATACTAATGTCCGAAAATCTTTCTCCTTGTCTCTGTTCTCACGAATTCGTCACAGAGTTCATCTATGTTTACATTGTACAGGATGGTCTGATGTTGCAGATTGCTACTTTTGCGCTTCGCGCTTAACATTTAGCTCGTTGCTTTTTGGCGCACTGCATTTCTATGCTGCTGTCAATTTAACAAAGTGAATTAATTCATCAATTCCTGATGAAGCCGTATGATCGAGAATTCAATTTATTCTTGTCTCATTTACAGTTGTCTCATTTACTTCGTATATGTATGTATTATGAAAATGAGATAGCAAAATGTGTATATTGATGGTCATCTTGCGAGTAATAACCATTAACTTCTCTCATCAGGCTCTCATCATTAATTTTTCTCTTATTTTTTTTTTTTTTTTTTAGGGTGAATTATTGGGGGGATGATTGTACAGGCCATCCCCCCCCCCCACCTGAAATATTGGGGGGATATATCCCCCCCCCCCCATCCCCCCCCCCGGGATCGACACCCATGAATACAATACAATAAGATTTACTCATGGGTGTACTTTTATGTACTCATGTACTTTTAAGCATGCTATCAGTTGCCTGGTGATCGCTTGCAAGGCGTGAACCTCAAAGTAGCAACCATTTCCCATTAGTCTGCCTTATTCAATATATATTTTTGCTCTACCTATATAGGCAAAGAGCGCTGTACGGAAGGATAGAACAAAGTTAAGTATATATATATTTACATGTACATGTACATAATATATGTATATAAAAACTGTCTAAAAGAATTATGAACGAATCCCACTCAATATATTAAATGCACGGCTGAAGGCATATTATGTTATGTTCACAGAGTAGACTATACCAGAAGAATAAATAGATCTTCTTCATCGTCAATAACACCTATGAACAACAAATTTGAAGAAAATAAGTTATCAATATATACTGAAATATTATGAACAAGACAAGTGCTTCTAATCGGTGATTCGATAATTCAAGTTACACATCTGCATTCTCAAAATTTTACGAGACTGTATTCAGATTCCGTACATTATGACATTAGACTATAAGAATGTGTCATGCTTCTTTTTGGGGGGCCAATATATAAAAATCTTAGTTATGAAGATGAAAATGTTGACAGGAAATGAGAGTTCGATAGCTAGTATTCGAGCAAGCGTGATAACAACCTATCATTTCAAGGTGTTTATACCATGCATACAAACTTGTTACTAACTATGTCTGAAAATTACGGTTCGTATCTCGAGGTTTACATGGTTCAATTAATTTCATATTGAAAAGCAAAAACCTCAACATGAAATAACATGAACAAGAAAGAACATTCCATTGTAATAGTTCCTCTAAAACATCCACGCTTACTTCAGCATTAGCCTACATTCTAGAAAATGTAGGCTGCAATAAGTAAAAAAAAAAAAGCATTCTCCCTTTACGATGAGTACCCATTGACATAAGTGTAGCTACAGCACCCGCGTAAAAAAGGTCTAGCGACGCCCCTGATAAAAACACAGTTTATACACTCGAGATAATTTTTGCAAGTACTATATACAACGTCTCACGACATGACAGATCACTTTTTCTCTAACTTCTAACCAATCAGAAGGCCTCGTTTTTTCCAGGAAGTGCCGTTGGACATTAAAGCGCCAAATGTGGTTCTCAAATTGCAAAAGATCCCTACTCTTGGAGTGGGTAGGAGAAAGCAATTTTACGTCACATACACACTAAGAAAAAATGGTGCAACTATGCACCTTTAGGGGTGCAAACCGATGCAACACTGGCAGCACCTTTATGGGTTCAATCCTGCACCCTTTAAGAGGGTGCCAGTTTGCACCTTTTAGGAGACATATTAGTACCCTTAATGGTTCAATCCTGCTCCAGTAGGGGTGCAAACTGATGCAATAGCAGCACCTTTAGGGGTTCAATCCTGCAACCCTGCACCCATCATCGAGGAATACATGTGAGATTTGCTCGTACACAAATACATATATTAAACATGCATGATGTTTCTTGGTTAGTAATCATATAATCAATATATCTATTGCTAAAACGTGAATATAATTGTAACATGTTTAGATAAAATAAACTATTGGTTAATGATTGCCGCAGGAAAATACAAATCACAAAATTGATGTGCATTGTCATAATTTGCTTAACAAATCATGAATATGCATGCAATATGCAAACTTCTATTTTGCACCCTTTTTTGGTCGATAGGGTTCATTTTTGTGGGAAGGGTGCAAAATCTTATATTGCACCCTTTTTTTAAAACCCTTTTTCTTTCCATAGGATTCATTTTGATGTAAAGGGTGCGAACTCTTATTTTGCACCCGTTTTTGCACCCTTTTTTTTTTTAGAGTGTATACACCATAAAGTGCCTGAAAATGCGTCTAATATGTGGTTCTAAAATTGCAAATGCTTCCTACTTTTGGAGGAGGGCAGAACCCCCTTCCAGACCCAACCCCGCTTGGTCGCTCCGCTCCCTCCCTGCTAAAGCCTCGCTCTGTATCGTTTTACATATATTTCACCCCATTCCATTTTCGGGTCAATGTCGCTATTCATAAGGACCGCTATTCATAAGGTTCGCTATTCCTAAGGTCCGCTATTCATAAGGACCGCTATTCATATGGTCCGCTTTTCATAATTGGAGAAAAGGTTCATTACTCATAAGGGTCATTATTCATAAGGACCGCTATTCATAATAAAAAAGAGGGTCGCTATTCATAATAGGAGAAGAGGGTAGCTATTCGTAATAGGAGTAGGGGGTCGCTATTCATAATAGTAGGAGAGGGTCGATCGCTATTCATAATAGGAGTAGAGGGTCGCTATTCATAATAAGAAATGAGGGTCGCTATTCATAATAGGACTAGAGGGTTGCTATTCATAATACGAAATGAGGGTCGCTATTCATAATAGGAGAAGAGGGTTGCTATTCATAATAGAAGGAGAGGGTCGCTATATTCATAATAGGAGAAGAGGGTTGCTATAACCCTATGTATTAAGAACACTAGAAAAAGTTAGCCCCTAAAACACTTCTGCTTTCGAGAAAAATTAAATATAAAAATTTACCGGTACTCCCGGTAAATTTTGATAAATTTCAAATAGCGCCTATGGTAGCTGCGACCATAAACCTCAGAATATGTTGTTGTGATATATAATTTCCAAACGGGCATAACTAATCGGTTGATTTTAGTCAAGAAACATTGTTTTATAGCATAATTAATATCTTGATCTTGAGAGGGAGCTATACAACATTAAGAGTTTATTATTTACAATTTCATAACGTCAACTTCCACCGCGACAACGATCACTGAATATTGTAGGACTGCATGCTTCCAATATGTTCATTTGAACCAAATTCATGACCCCATACCAAAACTTTGTATTACATAATAGTGCTATAATTTTGTCATCGTCAAAAGCAGTAATTTCTGACTTCGCAACTTTAAGAATTCATATCTTTCTTATTTGTTATCGGTTTTTGCTCAAATTTCACTGACATGTATCTTTCATTTTCTGCTTCTATTTAAAACCAACTCAATATCAGGGTGGACTTCCTCCTTAAACTTTTGACTGATGATACAAATTATGTGATGATACAAATTTTGCCGAGAAACCGCCTACTTTGATATATTTGATCTATGCGGCCGGAGATATAACGCACGAGTCGCGTAGTCCAATTTCCATCTTTCTGTGTATAGTGCTTGTAACTTTACCAAGACTGGGTCAAATATCTTATCATTTTGATGATTCCAGAACCTTGCAGTACACACCAATACTTATATGCTAGATTATCAACCTTTTCTGATCGATTCCACAACGTTTCTTTCACAATGCTATCGCATGGCGCATGACCAGAAATCAGAAACTTTGTATCCGACCATGACGTCACCCTGACATAACGTTCACAATCGTAATAATTTTGCGAGTCTGATATGACAACTACGTAAAAATTACGTGAAAAAAGACAAATTCCGCGCGCGCAGTTATAACAGGTAAAGCCTAAAGGCAAAGCTTCTGCATTTCATTCATATTTGGCGAGTGATTTACTGTTTTTATTCAACATGGCTGATGTTTCTGGTGTAACAGAGTTGTTAGCTAAAACATCAGTGGATCAACTCATAGAAGTGTCATTCTCTGGAAAAGGACTGAAACTGAATTCTGCAGAAGATGGTAAGCATTAATTTTCTACGTGAAGGAAGGTTCTAAATCTAGACTTAAGTCCCGTTCGTTTACATTTGTGTGATGTGATCATGATCATGATGGCTGCAGCTGCAATACGATTCTAGTCTCTAGTCTAGAGTAGTCTATGGTAAAGTTAATATAGACTCTTAGAGTAGAGGTCTAGACCTCTTATAAATTTTAAGTAAAACAAACAAACTTCTCCTAAAGTTGTGGAGTTTACTTCTACTAGTTTTCATTGTGATTGGCAGTGAGTGTGGGGGTGCATGCTGGTCCAAGAATGAGGATTGCTGCATAAACGAAGATATCCTCGTCAATGCGGACAAATTGAGTCCTAAAAAATAACGATCGTCTGCATTCTCTCGGACGTTTTTTTTTTCATCGGCGCTCTGCAGGTTTCTGGTTCCCGAACTGCGCGAGCTAGCGATGCGAAAGACCGATTCCGCGTAAGAAAATAACCCTAGTTGCAGTTCACCGTCTACTTTTATGGGCTGTCTGTCTTCCCAAGAATTTAAAGCTCATGACGTAAAATTCAATGTATATCTATATGCATGAAGAAAAACATGCAGATCAAAAATTTGAAACGTCTGCGAAAATGCGGATGATCCTTATTTTTGTGGACGCGTCTGTCCGTGTTTAATAACAAAGACGATATTCGTTTATGCGGACAATGCTTATTAAATGAGTCCGTTCCACTGAATGTCTGCCCTTACAACAAAGAAGACGAAACAGAGATTGTTTGTTTGTTGCTACGACAGGCAGCCAGTGAAAAACATTTTTTTAAAAATAAAATATTATAGACATGTAGATCTAAGCATTTATAATTCAAACAAGCAAAACCTTTTTTACCCCTGGCTCATTTTTCCTGATTGAGGTGTCATATGAAAGGGCAGACAATGAACTTTCTGGAAATGTGATTTTCTCTTTGAAATTCAGATACCGTTCGATGTTTGGTCCCCTTTCTTCAAATTGTTCTTAATCACTCATGCATGAAATGTTCATAATGAGTTGCATCAAATGAAAGAGGAGGATCTAACTTTTAAGCTTTACAAATATGTGTCATTTATTAATTATAATTGTGATTAAAGTTTTGATAAAGCATTAATGATTCTCGGTTTCTTTTTTTTGGGACGCAATGTATACTGCAAAAACTGAAAAAATGTCAACTTTGTCCTTCTTTTTTTTGTCAGCGAGGGAGGTTGTTGCAGCAGTAGAAGCTTGTGAAGGAATACAGTCATTGAAGCTGAATGGCAATACAATAGGCGTTGAGGCAGCCCAGGCATTAGCCAAGGCACTGGAATCTAAACCACAATTTCAGGTGAGTTGCAAGATAGTGGATTCAGCACTGACAATCTAAACCAGGAAAATGGGAATTTGTTAGACCTGTTTGTCATGGCTAACCTTATGTTGCAGGGTAACAACATATAAAATGAATTGTCATTTGATATCGAGATCTAAATTCATACTTGATGAACTTACTCTTGATCCTCAAGAATGAAGCATGTGTGTAGCTCCCTAAGGCCTAACAAAAAAGATGTTGTATTGCCATTTGCGACCAAACCAAAAATCTTGAAATCTGCGGTCAGCTTTTTTTTAAATATTTTTTTTAACCGTTTTTTTTGAGAAAAAAAATGTATTAAAGCATTCAAAATTGAGAAATATCAGCCAAAAGAGGGAGCAAAAAAAAAAAAAAAGATTTCAGACCGACCGACCCATGTTTTGGCACCTTAAGGGCAATACAACATCTCTCTTTTTTTAGGCCTTATCTGGTTCATTCACAGAGTTGTATATTTACTTGTAATTTAAATATTATCAGTTGCTAAGTAATGTTTTGCACTTGTTTATTTTCTTGATTACATATTCAACATCTTTGCAATTCTGTTATATTACATTGTTTGTTTTAGTAAACCATTGTGATTTCAAAGTACCATACTCTTACTTTAGAGAACTGCTTTAATCTTGATTTTAAAGTTCTTTTATCACTTCCAAAAGGAAAATTTACCTGAAACAGTTTCGGTGTCTGAGTTTATACATCTTCCTCAGACGTGAATTGGCAGAGGAAGATGTCTGCATGCTAGACATCGAAACTGCTAAAGGATGATGTTCCTTTTGGATGTGAACAAAGAACTTTAAATTCATTATTACAACCATCCTGATGAAACTATTTGATAATCTGCTTTAAAATTGTTTCTATCATAACATTCTTTCTTCTTTTTTTTTCTTTGATGCAGAGGGCAAGATGGAGTGACATGTTTACAGGAAGGTTACGATCTGAAATACCTCCAGCACTGGTAAGTTAATATACAGTCACAGTCTCTGTGTGCTGAAATTGATAGGTACATGAATGTGATTTAGAAGAAAAAGATATCTAATGTTGGGACACTGATTTTCCCTTTTAAAAAATGGCCCTTTCCGTTTCAGAAAATCTGGAATTCCGTGACATTCCGTTTTGCCACTGATAACCACTCAAAAACATAAGGACGGGACTGGATAAACTTGATGCAAAATACTAGTGAAAATATACGAAAAATTATCAAATGTTTAGATTTACCAACCTCAAATTCGAACTTAGACAAGCAGACTAAAGTTAGCGGAAGTGCCAGAACACGACATATTCCGGACGGAACGATACAGATACAGGCTGAGTAGTACCGACGTCGACGAAAACATTTCAGTCTTGGCTATCATGTCAGCGGTCGATCGATTTTAGGCGCACATGCCAGCCCCTTTTTTGAACTGTACAACAGCGTGTGTACAATCTCGCCGCACTTAGTGCCCGCTGCTGGCGTGTGTGTGCCTAGTATTGCGTCTACGTAATACTAGGCGCCTAGTTGGCATAATAGCATCGATTCGCTGCTAATCACGGAAAATCAGTGTCCCTACTAATGTACATGTAGACACAGGTCTGCCAAATAATTGGGTATCACAACAGCTCGGGAATCATTTTTAAAAGAATAAAATAACAGTGAATCATAATAAATTCTGTTGTTTTCTTGTTTGAATAGATGAGTCTTGGAGCTGGTATCATGACGGCTGGAGCTCATCTGGTAGAAATAGACCTGAGTGATAATGCGTTTGGTCCCGATGGAGTGAAGGCTGTCAGAGAGCTATTAGAGAGCTCATCCTGCTACACACTCAGAGAGATGAGGTTTAACAACAATGGTCTGGGAATAGGTGGAAAGGTAAGAAATCGGTCTTCATAATTTTGATCTCCCGCCATGGTTATAGGTGAGAAAACTGATTAAGAACTCTGTTTCCAAGTCTTGTCGTTTGGATCCTATGCCAACTCATTTAGTGAAATCGTGCCTTGAAGAACTAGTACCATCCATTACACACATAATGAACTCTTCTCTGTCTTCTGGTACTGTCCCAGAACTTTTCAAAACATCTCACATTATACCTCTATTGAAGAAGTCTGACTTAAACCCAGATGACTTTAAAAGCTACAGGCCCATAGCTAACCTGCCATTCCTTGCTAAGATCCTTGAGGAAATCGTTGCTTCTCAGCTTCGGGTGTACCTTGATAAACAAAAGTTGTTTCCTGAGATGCAGTCGGCTTATCGACAGTTCCATTCAACTGAAACAGCATTGATCAGAGTCTTCAATGACATGCTTCTTGTAGTTGATAAGGGTCATGAGGCTGTGCTGGTGCTCCTTGATTACACTGCTGCGTTTGACTCTATTGACCATACAACTATGATTGATCGTTTCCTGCGAGGCTATGGCATCAAGGGGTGTGCTCTGAAGTGGCTTGATTCGTACCTGGATAATCGCAAACAGCACGTCGTTGTGAATGACTCTATTTCCAGACCATTTCCCCTGCCCTGGGGTGTTCCTCAAGGGTCTGTCCTAGGTCCACTGGAGTTCATCCTGTATACTGGTCCGTTGAGTGCGGTCATCTCTTCCCATCGGGACATTCATCATGTCATGTACGCCAACGACACCCAGTTGTATGTGACCATGACATCCAAAGATCACGTAGGCTCTATGCATAAACTTGCAGCCCCTAAATTATGGAACAGTTTACCTATTATTATTCGTCAATCCCCATCTGTAGAGTCTTTTAAGGCAAGTTTGAAGTATTTTTTGTTTACCAGTAATAGTAATTTATAGAGCAGTTTAATTATCTGTAATGTTATTATTAGAATTATGTATTATTATTGCTGTATGTTTATTTTACGTTGTACCTAATTACTTGTATGTTGAGCGCTTAGCAACATTGTATTAAGCGCTTTATAAATGTAATTTATTATTATTATTATTATCTAGAAAAGAGTTTAGTCAGTTAGCGAGTTTTGTTTTTGTTCAACAGTCTAGAATCAGACAATTTTCTCATGTACATTGGAATATTTTTGTATAATACATGAATGCAGGTGTACCTATAATTCAGATGTACCTATAATCTTCACCATTTAGGAAGTAGGAAAGGTATTTATTCCCATCCTACAGTAATGAGTAGGACCGTCACTTCTCTGTAGGGACCATGTCACATCCACCCCTAATACATTTCCCATGATGCTTTTCTGGAAACCTTATACCATGAGTGTGTATACAATTTGGACATAAATCCTGAATTGCTTTCAAATTCGGTATCAAACTCCGCATTTTTGCTTGCTCGTTCTGTTATGTTTTTAGACTGCCACAAAAAGAATTGTTATTTGTTGTTTCTTAATCAGCAGTTTTTGCCTGGAGTGGCAAAAAATACTTTTTACTTTATACTCGAAATAGAATCTGTAAAGTCTTTCATTGATTTGAGTGTAATTTGAGATAATTGTGTTCAATGGTGTATGTATTCACAGTTTCCTTTTTTGACTATTTGTAAGTTTTGGCCTTTTGTTTCCCTCAGCTAATGGCCGAAGCATTGATCACGTGTCATGAGAAGAGCTCTAAAGCAGGCAAGCCATTGGCTCTCAAGGTCTTCATTGCTGGAAGGAATAGATTAGAAAACCCTGGAGCCACTGCACTAGCTAAGGCATTCAAGGTCAGTACATCCTCATATTGCATACATTCTACAGTCGAACCTGCTTTAGTGACCACCTGTCTATTAAGAACACCTGTCTACAAGGACCACATTTCTTGTTTCCCTTGAAAATGTTTATCATTGAAACATGTACTAAAGGAACCTGTACTTAAAGACCACCTGCCTTTAAAGACCACTTTTCTTGTCTCCCTTGGGTGATCTTTATACATGTAGACAGGTTTCACTGTAATTACCAGATTCCAAGGAACATCAATAAGTAGTTTTCATGGGCTGTATTCTGAAAAATTTGTAATCTTTCATGTTAGTGAAATTAATTGTCATAACAAATTGAAATTGCATGGAATAGCCATCTGTCTTTGGTGCTCACATAGATGTCTGTATCCTCACGCAGAAGGCTTGCACAAAATTATCCTATGAGTTATCCTACTTTCGATTTATCATAACAACTAACTTACTTTTACTAACCAGAGGATGATATTTTTCAGAATACCACCCCAGGATTTTTAGGGTATAATGTAGTTTTAGGAATATTAACAATTGTGTACCAGTATCATCTTTTTAACTAAATCAGTTACCACATATTAAAATAGGAATTCAAAGTTGAAGGGATCTCAAACTTGCAGGTCTGCAGTAAACCCCCCCTTTTTTTATATTGTTTGTTTGAGAGGGGGGCGGGGGGGGGGGGGGGGGAGGGGTCAGATTAATTCAGAACTTCTGTCTCAAAACTTTGAAATTAAAATTCTGAAGTCTTATGTATAAAAATGATTTGATCATTTTAGTTTCTTATCAACAGGCCTTTTATCATTGTATGACAAAGCTGAAATGATATAATATGTTGAACGTGTGTATAATTGTTTTTGAGTTTCTGATGATATAACTCTATTATCAAATAAACATTTACCTTGCTTGTAAAGAGAACTGTTGCTGAGCTAGTGCCATGAGCATCCCTGGTTGGTGTGCGCGATCTATAAGTTTACACTATTATTATTATTATAATAATCAAGAATTTACACATATAAGATTCCATGGTTTGTTTTCATTTGAGCAGATCATAGGTACATTAGAAGAGATTGCCCTGCCACAGAATGGAATCAACTATGAAGGGATAACAGCACTGGCTGAAGCAGTAGAATACAGTCATAATCTCAAGGTAAGTTTCTTGATTGGCCAGTCAGCTGCCTGCCTGGATGGATACACATAACATGTTGTTCTGTTTTATTGATTGTAACATGGACATGATACAGGTCATTCCCTACGTTATTTGACATTATTTGATCCTCTTGATGCTTTGTGAATAATAACAAATCTTGATTATCATTGTTTGTGTATCCAGTCAGCCAGCTGCCTTGCTTGATACTAAAAAAGCACATCATCAAGATGTGTTGTGAATAATAGAATTGATACTAGACTGCTTTTAACCTCTCAATGGTTTTTCTGAATCATGTACAAATATACTCAGGAGGAATATTATCTATACACAGTAGCCATGAATACTCTTGTATGTTCTTCAAATTAGCTGGTAAAAATGGTTGTAAAAAGTAACAAAAAACCTTGTTTGGAGTGTAATATCGCTTATGTCTGCACTCATTTTGCACGTAATTAACAATGTCTTTCTTGGGAAGTTTGAATGATCTTTAAATGGAGTTTGCAAATGGATTTTGAATTGTGGTACTTTATCAAATCGATGTGATTTCCTTATTTCCTTTTTGTTCTGTTTCTTAATTCAGATCCTGAACTTAAATGACAACACATTCACAGCGAGGGGTGCAAAACCAATGGCAAAGGTGAGTAGGAACCAACCAAAAAATTACTTTTTTTTTTACGAGGGCTCTTTTCAGATTTTCCCTTAAAAAAATAGCCCCCATTAATTATTTTGCGGTGGCTATTTTGGAGCTCAGGGGGGCTTTTTTTTTTTAAAGGTTGTATTTTTTTTAAACGCGATTTTACCTAATTAAATTCCAAGCAAAGGCAAATATAGATACAATTGTAGCGTACATATGTCATGTAGAGTATTGCAGACATTCAGATACCCATGATTTATTCACTTTGTGTTAAACGTGTGGCTTTATGATTTACATATACATGTAACTAAAACTTGTCAAAAGGAGTGTTTTGTTTAACTGTTCGTTTTTCATATCCTAAGAAAATATTATCACTGACACGCGGGCTAGGAATTAATTTTTTTATGGGGGCTACTTTTCCCCATTGCCTAAAAAAAAACCAAGGGGCTACTTCCTTAAAGCCATATTGTAAGCTGTAACAATAAGTTGTGTTTTTCCTTAGCCATCATACTACTAGCAACCAAATTGGTAGGTAATATGTTATTTAGTCTTTTTTTCTGTCCCAAATTTAATTGTTATCATGGACAATGCAATCCCATTAAAAAAAAATGTAGACCAACTCCCTTTAAAATTGTGTTATTTAGACCATTTATAACCATTAAATGTGAGTAAATATTTTTACTGTTGTCCCACATGCCGATGTAGGGTCTATTTGTTATGCCGAAACATGCGAAATCATGGCCTTATTTTTTTTTTATAGACTCTAATTCTAAAGGCCAAGCCAAAGCTAGTTTCATTTCGTAGACAGAAATTGATGTCATCATCACTCATGACAATTGGCCTGGCATCGATCGTATATAAATAATTTAATTTAATTAAACAGTTGTAAGAAAGATTCTGAGGAGTAGGAACATCCTTTATATATTTATTTACGGTTTTTTTATAACAAAATTCAATTTCTGTGTACGAAACTTGCTTTATACCGATTTTACAGGAAAAAATCCGGCATTGATTTTGCACGTTTCGTTATTACAAATATATCAGTAGAGTAAAGGAGCCCGTAATCGGCCAGCTCCAGTTTTCGGCCGATTGGTTGGATGCAAGGTAAAATCACTCTAAAATACATCGCATAATAGCATAACACATATCCCACACATACCATACCATGCCAGTGTCACTGAAGAACCACATTTGCAATGGAAAATATATCCTAAAATATCACATTTTAGCGATGTAATCGCCGGTCCCGCTACCCAAATCTGAAAAATCGAGTATCTTACGCGTGTCTGTAAGAAATATGGGTACCATAAAATGAGCTTTATTTCAAGTATTTTTCAGATTTAAAGCCCGATTTTGTGCTAGTCGCAAGCTCAAAAGTATCTCATCGCATGTATTAAATCAATGCAGCCGCACACCGCGACGCACACACGATATGTCTGTCTAATTCAGATTCCAACTTCCGATCACCGCTGTGCCTGTCTTCGGCCAGGCAAGCACCAGGGAGCTCCGGCGTGGGATACCTGTTCCGCCCGCTTGTGCTGTACATCAGCGCGGAAACGCACGGCGCGCGCGAGCGCTTCCTATTGACTTTGTACATGCGGCCGTAAATTGAAACGCTCGGCCGATAACGGGCTCCAAAACAGTGAAAATTGAAATGAATATTGTCATGGCAATTCGTGATTTTTTTCTGGGATTCTTTTTTTGGTTAAATAATAATAATATTTGCTTCATGATTTGAACAAGAAATGATAATAAATAGGAAGTAAAGAGTCCTAAAAATAGGATTTTGTCTTAAGTGGCCGAAAACGGGCTCCTTTACTCTATGTGGGACAACAGTAAAAATATACTCGCATTTAATGGTTTTAACTTATAAATAACACAATTTTAGACGGAATAACATTTTTTTTAATGGGATTGCATTGTCCATGATAAAAATTAGGGCCAGAAAAAAGACTAAATAAACATATTACGTACCAATTTGGTCGCTAGCAGTTGAGCTCTCGTCACTCGCAAATACTTATTTGCTTCATACAAGGAGCGTGCGGGCGCGCGCTGGAGCTGAGCTAGTACGTTTCTGTGTATTGTGAACGTGTGCGAACTGCGTATGCATTCATGCTGTGCACGAAACTACATCGGGGCCGGTGGCCTGTCCGGCCGCCGGGAGCTTAGGCGCAGGCAGGCGGATACCGCTGTAGATCTAGCTACAGTAGGTACGACCGCCGATCCGCTGCAACTCACAAAACTTTTAAAATGTTGATGGAAGTTTCTAGTTTTGGAGTTGGTAGTTGGAACGGAGATTTCACTCAGACACATCAATAAATTGATTTATTAATTCATAGGGAATATCAATTTATGGCGGGGGTGATTTTTCAAGATATATTGATTTTTTTTCGCCCTCGTCTTGATTTTTACCGTGGCGATTTCAGAGGTTTAGGGGGCGAATCGCCCGTCGCCACCGTGTATTTTTTTCGTTGGTAGGAACCCTCCCCCCCCCCATGGTATATACATGTATATATATATATATATATATATATATATATATATATCTATATATATTTATATATTTCTTGGTTAAATGATGTTCAATAGTATACAAATAATACACAGCAGTGATGACATTAGTAAGAATTACCCACACAAGGTACCTTTGGAAAAGTCTAACACGCCCGAGGCGGTAGCCGGGGTGTTAAGACTGTTTTGAAGGTACGGAGTGTGGGAAATTCTACTAAAGCCTGAACAAATGATGTGTGTTATTTGTTTTATAAGATTATGTCTTATTTGTTTTATAAAAATATGTTTCATAACATGATTTTGCTAATGACCGGTCAATAGAATTGGATAATGACCGGTCATTATCCAAATTACTCGTTAGGCAAAATAAATGCCTGGTCACATGTACGCTTTCAACCAATCATTTGATTAGGATCCACGTCATCATCTTATAATGTTAAATGTTAGATATATACAATATCAATCTTTACCTGAAAGAATGTATATGCCTGTATACATTTGGGGCCTTATTTTTCATCCATTCCTGTCATTTTACCAATCTAGGTATCCAACATAATCTGAGAAAATTATCTTTCCTATGATTTTCAGGCTATCAAGAATCTAAGCAAGTTAGAGGTTATCAATTTTGGTGATTGTTTGGTGAGGTCAGAAGGAGCAGATGCCATTGCAAATAGTCTGAGGGAAGGAGTTCCTAGTCTAAAGGTAAGTTGGTAACAGATCCTTTCCTTACAATGAGCTTCTGTTAATCCAGTTTGGGTCAATCATATTCTATATAATGCACGGTCTGAGTATATCTGTCAACATATTCACAAACATAAGCCATTATTGACAGTATTTGAGAAGACACTGGTGTCTTGGATTAAACAGAGTTGAAATTTAATTTGATTCAAGCATTGTAAGATGCAAGATACTGCAAGAAGTTACAAACACATTACAAATATCAACACAGCATGACTTTTGATAAAATGTTATCTGTATGAAACTCTTCCATTTATTTGCAACATTTATTTATGATTGGTATGTTTAACCATTTTGTTTGTGTGTTGTAGGAGTTAAATCTAGCATTCGGTGAGATCAAGAAAGAGGCGGCTGTCAGAGTAGCAGAGAGTATGGATACCAAACCTCATCTAACATTACTAGACCTCAATGGTAAGTTCTTTCCTTAAAGGAAGTACAAAATTTTGGGAAATTTGAAAATTGGCTGGTTAGTGATTCTTTACAATTTTGGTATATTTGGATGCCCCTGTGGATGTATTATAAGCAGTAGAAAATTTGCCCCTAAAACACTTCTGCTTTCAAGAAAAAATTTGAATATCAAAATTTCAAATAGCGCCTACGGCCAAACAATGGTAGCTGCGACCATGAAAATCTTAGAATATGTTTTTGTGATATAAATTCCAAACGGAAGTAGTTCATCGGTCCATTTCAGTCAAGAAAGATTGTTTTATAGCTAAATTATTTTCTTGATCTTCAGAGGGAGCTATACAACATAACAAGTATATGTTTTACAATTTCATCGTTTTAGACTCGATTTTAACCTCAACAACGATAATTGAATATCGTATGACAGTATATGCTTCCAATTTGAACCAAATTCATGACCCCATACCAAAACTTTGTATTACCTTTAAATAACATCAGAAACGTAGATTAGCATCAAGTATCATCGGCCTTAAAAAAGGATCAATTCATCACCATTCAACATGATGATGAAGTTGGTAACAAAAACTTTATTGTGACTAAGCTCGGCTGAATTGTGGGGGATTGAAGTTAAAGGTAGTTTTAAACGATGCAGATGATATTCAGAAGACACCAGAAATTGATAATCTGTATCACACTGTTTGAGGAATTATACAACTTTCTTCCCACCCAGTTACTAACTCACAAAATAATAATAATAATGATAATAATCTAGATTTATAAAGCGCTTAATTTAATGTGCACATCTTCACTCCCAGGGGAATATTCCTACCATATGGTCACCTTGAGGGCGTAGGCAATTACTAATGCAAATAATACTTTTGTCATCCTACCGGGTCCCCATTTATCTCTTGGGTATTGAGAGGCAAATGTAGATTAATGCCTTGCCAAAGGACATTAGTGTCGTGTCGGGGATTGAACCACGACCTTTGAATTTCAAGTCAAGTGCTTAAACCACTCGACTACAAAAGATAGTGAATGGATGATGAGTTAAGACAGATTTTGGTTGTCATAGCAATTAGAAGCATCTGTAGTCCAATGGATTGAAATAATTATACAATTTCATCCATTTTATTTACCCTTGTTTTCATTTGTATTAAAGTTTTGTTTGAAATAAGCTTTATATGTATTTGTTTCCTATTGCCATGCAAGTAGACAATGTTTTCATACATGTTCAAAGGTACCAGACCTGTTTACATCTATGCTCTTTTCTTATTCCTTTATCCTTTTATGTTATTGTATATAACTCTTTATACCTACTGTTATGTGTTTATTCTATGATAATAAAATCCAAATTCAGTTCAGTTCAGTTCATTGACTTTATTTACAAGGTAATATCTTTAAAAAAAATATATATATCCTGCTACTTTTTTTCCCTAGGAAACAACATTGGAGAAGAAGGGATTGAGTTGATCCAAGGTATTATGGATGCTAACAATCACGCTGATGCTCTAGGAACTCTGAGGTATGATTATGATGGCATGCATCTTACTTCTCCTGTTTCTCATCGAATCCAATTTAGAATTCATGTAGCATCAAAACAGTCCTTTCAATTCCCAAATATTAGTAGCACAAGGCATTCTGGACAGATGTAATTAGTTTTTGAATATTGTTTTCAAGGCACAAAATATAGAAGAATTTTCATTACAAGCAATCAAATTTGCATGAAGTCTACCATCAAATATGTGCCGGGCTTTTGGCAAAAGGTTATTTCTTGTAATTATTGTTTGCACTATTTGTTTAGTAAAAAAAAAAGACAAAATGTGTCAGTTGGAGACAAGATAACAAGGCAGTTGGCTTATATATTACATAACAATGATTCAGTTCAACTAAATTTTGAGATATTTTTTCACAACACTTATGATCTTTGCCTTTATCTCATTAAAATTGAAATTAAAACCTGGTTCTTGAATCTGATTATTTAGCGATGATGAAGTGTCTGAAGACGAGGAAGATGATGACGATGATGAGTATGAAGATGTTGAGGATGATGAGGATGTTGAAGAGGAGAAAGGAGGACAGGAATCTAAGGATCCTCATCTTCAAGTCAAAGGAACCGCTATCTCACCCAGGAGAGAGGAAACCAAGTATATGGTGAGTTCAAATCTTAACAAATTATTAGTAGAATAAAATTAGAATATCTAAGACGTGGGAGTTGACCACTTCTTGTGTGCATCTATAAGTATGATTGATTTATCTTCATTGCTTGAGGATTTGCATTTCCTTTTTTTTTATATTCTGTTTAAAAAAACCCACTGAAAGAGACATTAAAGCTTCATATAAAACTTACTACAGTTTTGGTCTGTTGTGACCAATACACATCATCAGGGTTTATCATATTGTAAAACTCTGGACACATACTACTTTCAACACCGATAACATATAGTAGTAAAGACAATGTGCAGCCATAGAAGAGAGAAATTTCTTCATGCACCTGTAGCTTAGCTCATATCAATCAATAAACACATGCTGAAGATAAAAGTGAAATGAAGAACTGCTCTCCTTGGAATCTGTTGAATACAGTTAAAAGTAGTGCAGAGATTTCCCCCTAATTTATAAATTGAACCAAGTATTCAAGGACTTGGTTTTCAGCAGATTGCCAGAGTTTTTTGTTTCTAACTTGACAAAGAAATGCGAAACATGATTTGTTTTGAAATTGTAAACTTGGAAAGCACGGCAGGAAACGCTGACTTGATGCTGGCTGTCTTTCTGTTCTATTTTCATAATACAGAATGCAGGAGATGCAGGGGATTTAGCATCAGTCATGGACAAAATGAAGCTCTGATGATGATACTCAGCAAATCAAATAAACTTTAAAAGAACAGTTCTTCATGTCAAGATAACAATGAGATAATGACTGTGATAGAGGACATGGCTTTGTCTCTCATATTCACTTTGGAATCTACCCACAGAATTCAGCTAACAAGACATGTTTCCAAATATTGACATATTCACTTGATAAAAGTGCAAAACTGATTACAACATTGCTTTCTAAGAATGATATTACGGTACTAACATCCTCTTTTGATGTGAGTGAGGAGTGTTATTCTCTCAAAATCAACTATAAGAAGCTTAAAACACTTTGATGAGAAAAATTTCTCATAATCAGTGAGCTATAGATGAAGATCAGAAAGGCTTCACTTCCTTGAGTACATGTATGTTTGTCTCAAAAGCAGAGTCAAAGGCTTGTGTTATCCAAAATTAAAGATAAAGTTGAGTTCTGGTAAAAAAAAGAAAATGAATTCTCACAGAATCAACCGAAACTTACACTGAATGTTCAAGATTATAAAAAATAACATTTGTCAAACAATTTTGGTAGAAAATGTATACTGGCTGAGTAATGAGCATAGAAAGATTAGGAAATCAAGGTTGGTAGCCCCGACACAATTTGTGTAGTCTCATATAAACATCTTTCTGTGTACAGTGCTTGTTACTGTACCAAGACTAGGCCAAATTTTTTATGATTTTGATGACTCCAGAACTTTGCAGTACACACCAATACTTACATGCTACATGATCAACTTTTTCTGATCCATTCCACACCTTTTCTTTCACAATGTAATCGGATCACCAGAACTCACCTTTATCTTTTTAATTAAAAATTGATTTCAAATTTGATACCACATTGTGGACATACCTAGTTTCATTCCATTTCAGAGTTATTGTATACTACTTCTTGATTGAGACTGGAAACAAATACAAAATATAACAACATGTTTCTTTCCAATCTCATGAATCACATTGTGTCTCGTGCAACATATAGAAGATAGAAAAGTATTCAAATGTGCATGAAATCAATACAAAACTGGCTTTATTTTGTTTACTGCTTTAGTTTTTTTGTCTCAACTCATACATGTACATTAAAACTGAACAGGGGGGTGTTTCATAAAGAGTTCGTAAAGTTACGCATGACTTTACAAACGACTTGTATATGAAGTGCCAGATAGGATGCCCAAAGTTTTTTCTGATATTTCCAATAATCTCAATTAAAGTATGGCAAAAAATATACTTTGCATTAAAAATGGTTGTTATAATAAGAATGTTAATCTACATCTGCACAGTTCAACTTAATAAATAATAATCAATAATGATTGAGCATCCCATTTGGCTTTTCATATACAAGTCATTCGTAAAGTCATGCGTAACTTTACAAACAGCTTTAAGAAACACCCCCCAGGTATTGAATTGATAATTATGTATGACACTGTAAATATTTAAGAAAAAGCACTGCTGCCCAAGGGAAGTCAGCATGTACACATTCACGGTATGCAATGAAAGAGGTAAAACATGTTCAAATTCAAGCGGAAAGATATTGAGCATAGAAATACTAATTTTAATTGTATAAATTTTGTGGTCTGAAACAAAGAAACAAACATATTTTTATTGATACGTTTAATTGAGCGGTTTTCTAATTTGATCGAAATATTTGTTGCACATGTAGTAGTTTTGATAACCAGTCTAGCACGAGCCAATCTGCGAGGCCTTTCCACTTTTCTTAATGTCACTGTTGGGAATTTGAAAGGTTTTATAGCAGCTTGATAATGAATAACTTCATACATTCCTGTGTAACCCTGATTGTAAATCAGAGGGTATCTCTGCTGTATCAACTAGGCTGATGAGGCTATAAAAATCAGTAGCTTTCTTCCTTGTAAATACTGAATCGTTCTGCTGAAGTATGTCATTTAGGAACACACATTTATTTGTTCTTTGCAATAGAAATTAATGAAGAAGAAAAAAGACTAATGATAGTTTTTAAAAAAAGTCAAACAAAACAACACAACCCATGTACAGTACATGTAAATATTTCCATTTAACTGTTTACGTCTTTTTCTCAGTGAAAATAGTACTCCCTTTATATTGTAAAAAAATGCTGTTCATTCCAGAATACTACTGAAGATGAATTGAATGTACATTGCAATTTGCAGTTGAGAAGATTTGCCAAAAAAGGGAAGAAAGTACATGTAACTACCTCTGTCTAATAAATATTGATAGTTTATGAAAGGAAACTAGGAAAGGGTTATAAAGCTACTGTAGTATACTTTATATATATATATATTTTTGTGAAATAATGACCTTTTCTGGATAACAACATAAAGAGAAAGTAGCTAAATATTATTCAGCTGTTTTGCAGTCTGACCAGTGACCACTGCCATTTGATATAATTTATAAGTTGTGGCATCTGGTTTTGACTACCGGTAACAGCTATTCTGTGTTTGTGTAAATGCATCAGCCTATATCAAGAGCATAAAGAATTATGAAGAGAATACATAGTTGAGTTACATTAGGCCTAAAATAAAAACTTGTTGTATTGCCCTTTGAGTGCCAAAACATGGGTCGGTCGGTTGGTGGGAAAAGTTTTTTTTTTTAATAGTTTTTTTTTTCTCGCCCTCTTTCGGCCGATATTTTTCAGTTTTTAATTTTTTTTAAAGCCCTCTTTTGGCTCATATTTCTCAGTTTTTAATGCTTTAATACATGTGTTTCAGCGTCATCATTCCATTCATATCTTCTTCACCTCATAATCATCCATGGTTTGCAATGTTGTGTTGATCGAGATGTGTACGCTAGTAGGATTTTGAAACTAGGGCAGAAGACAAGTGAGTATTTGGGAATGATTTGATTTTATGCATTTACATCCCATTTATCCCAACAAACAAAATACATATTTTTGTATTCATTCATAATAAAAAAATTCTAAAAAAAGGTTTAAAAAAAAAAAACCTTTTTTAAATGCCGACCGTAGATTTTCAGATTTTTGGGTTGGTCCCAAAGGGCAATACAAGTTTTTATTTTAGGCCTTATGGTCATACTTTAATGCAATATTGAATCGGTCTAAGATCTCTTCAGTTCACACACTAACACAACCACAAAGGACTGCTCTGTATAAAGCACATCCATTCCATTTACTTTTGTTTATAGTGAACCAGAAAAAAGGGTAATGCATGTATACAAAGGTTGACTTTCTGAATGAGGAAATCATAGCACTCTTACATGGACATGTATGTACATAGTTTTCAGGATTGCTTTTTGCTGTGGCCCCACAGTCACTTTTGTCCAGGGGACAGCAGGGAAATGCAGGGATTCACAGCTAGGATGGGGGGGGGGTCTAATGTATATATACAGGGCTAACCGCATTTAACTATTTTCTCTCTTTGTTGGAGTCTTGTCTAGCTAATTATGAAAATGTATGACAATTTAGATACACATGTAAAATGCACAGATATTACAATCAAGAATTTTGTATCACAAATATTGTTGGCTATATCTTTCCATGAAGACAGGGTGATGAATGACCTCCTTGAAATGGAGACTGAGAGAAGAGAGAAGAGAGAGAGATAAGATGAGATGATAAATGATGAGATGTGTCTTCCTTCTAGTACTCTAAGCCTCTATTCTGTACTACTCACCTTTTACCTTTTACATTAAAACGTGTTTTGATAGAATCATGGTGTGGTCTTTTCTTAAAATGTGTGATATACTCATCATTCAAGCAGCTGTTGCTGTACATAAATGATAACACACTGCCCTACATTGTATATTCAATCCGAAAATTTTCATTACAAGAGATACATTGAAGATTGGAAAATATTACGACAGTAATATAATAGTAATTGGAAAAGGAGAATGACAAAAGCGACTCTAGACACATGTACATTAAGCAAGTGTGTGCTATTTTGAGAAGAATTGTATTATAAAGTGAGAGAGCTGTGAAGAGAAAATGGATGTATAAATGTACGATGAGAGAGGGGTGGAGGGGGGAGGGGGTAGAATGAGATAGATAAGGATATTGGAAAGGGTTAGGAAAGGGGATGATGACAAGAGAAAATTGATTACATATTACATGTGAATCTTGAAATAGTAATCTGTTTGAAACCCAAGCTTTGATGAAGGTTGAATGAATGAATGTTTAACAAGACACTTTCACAAACCAATACTTGCAAATGTTTATTTTTGATCCATTGTGCATTGCAACCATGCTATAATTCATGTGCTTTGTTTTGATTTGAATCAGATCCCTGTAACAGCAGCAGACTTCCTAGCATTCCCTACTGCTAATAAATTACAAGCTCTTGGTAACCAGCGTGCAGAGAAGATTCTACAGGAGCTAGGGGTAAGCTGGACAGACTATCTTACATATCCCGACTGAGACTGACAGCCATAATGTTGACTTACTTGTATTACCACTATTACCACAAGTACTTACAACGTAATGAGTAATCATACATTTTCAACTTGTAATACCTCTTTGCTTTTAATAGAATATACAGTGTATATGGCACAATCAATTCGACTCGCCTGGGCCCTGTAACATAACAAATTAAAAGTAATTGTATCTCGAGTCTCAAATTAATTTTAACTCCTTCAATCAATCGTAACCTTTCAATAACTAGTAACTTACAATTTATTTTGTGTTACAGATATATACTATAGATGGAAAGATACAAGTGATTATAGCAAGATTTGAGATATATTTATTTGATTTATACAAATGATTAAAAGTCAAATTTCGTGTTACAGGGCCCAGAAATCATTTCTCCACTGAAAATGACCCAGGGTGAGCCATGGGGTAGTTATGTTATACCTGAAGCCTTTAGTGAGCATGATTGTGATGGAATGTAGAAAATAACTAATCTCAAAGAAGAATTCTGCTGTACTTCCTGTTTGGAGATCCATTCCACTACTTCCCCCCCCCCCCCCGAACCCCTATTTTGAATCATGAAATAGAAGTCTGAAAAAAACCTTTGAACTGGGAGGATATGATATCAGGAAGTGACTGCAACATGTATACTTATATGCCATGCTTGGTCCATTACACAGACACAGAGTCCATTTAATGGTTTTCATCGACACAATGACTTATAGCGTCTTTCTATTAAAAGCTTCGTAACATTTCTATCGGCATCTCATTTTAATACAGGACGAGGTATATGAGGAGTCAGCTGGAATCAAGGCGTTTGTGAAGATCTCGTCAGTGATGGAAAGTGAGAACAATGATGTCAAGAATGCAGTGTATCAGTGCACAGGTATATCTTAGATTCACTCTGCTCCCTCCTGTATGGTAAAGAAGGTTTATTTATGTACATGTGGAGGTGTTGTGGTCTAGTGGATAAGTCGTCGGACTGTGGATCACAGGGTCCATGGTTCGAGTCCCGCCGCAGCACTAATGTCCTTTGGCAAGACGTTAATCTACATCTGCCACTCTCCACTCAGGTGTTGAATGGGTACAGGTAGGAAGGAATTCCTTGAATGCTGTGTGCGCCGAAATCGGCAGCCAAGCAGAGCCGGGTAATATTTGCAGCATCTGAGTACCTTGCATGGTGGATATGTGCGCTATTATTATTATTACCATTGGGGATAGAGCAGTGGATATTATCTATCTTGATGTCTCTCTCTCTCTCTCTTCCACTCTATCTATCTTCTTCCATTTAAGACTCAATTGAAAATTGAAATGTGTTCATTTACAAGTGAATGAGAACCCTTCCCCTAAATATGATAAAATACCAGACTTAAAATGTAGCACTGTAGATGCATGTGAAAGGAAATACAGTTTGACGCTTTTAACAAATAAGAAAACTTTGGAGACTCACCACAAATGCAGGGGGTAGTGATATGATTGCAACCCTCAGGGAGAAAAGAAGTAATATTGATGAGGCTACCCTAGGTAAACAAAGCATATTATTGTTATTGTTGTTATTCTTATTCTGATATTTGCAGATGCCATTTTGAAGAAGTTGTTTTCATCAGAGAAATGCACACCTGAATCTGTTGTGAATGCCTTACTGGTTCATCTGGGACTTATCAAGGTATGAATTTTAACTTGTATTTATCACAGGGATGTAAAAAGGATTTTTGCTACATACTGAATATAAGACAGCATATTATATTTGCATAACAAGCTGCTGGATATCGCAGGAGTTGAAGAGTAGATTTGGTGGTTGCATTCATGAGTATAAATGTGTAAAGTTTTATATCAATCTTAAGGTGTAATATGTTTTGTACCTGCTTTGTATCAGCTAAGAAAACCAAATAAACTTTCATATTGCAACTTTTGATGCAACTATTGTGTGAATGAAGAGCTTGCTGTTTTTGTAGTCATACATAAAGGCAGGTTAATTCTTAAAGTTCAGTATTGTCCATGGTACAGGGTCATTTTAATCCCCTCATTGTCAGATATAAGACTCTAGAGCAGAAATAAGACAATTAATTATGTAACTTTTTTTTATCCAGGAAGGGAATGCACACAGTCACTGTACACGGTAGTAAATGTTCTTTTGCTGCTTTGACTTTCTGTAACTACATTCATTTGCTGTTCAAGTTTTTGAACATTAGAAGGATAATGAGTTAATACAGGACTAAGAGGAAAACTCCAATGAGGGCCATGGTGCGAGTCTGCGAGATCACATAATTATTTTATTTCATGATCATCTGAACTGAAATATATACATACCTGTTCAGCTTGTACATAGTGTGGAGGTTTGAACACATCATCTCTGGCATCATTGAACAATGAGTTCAGAAATATGAACCCTGTTGTGTGAATGTAATGATTTTTATTGTATTGATTCCCAGGGTGAAGATAAATTGAGGCCAGTGGGTGATCCTTCAGGAATGTTACTGACTCTAGGACATGCAGTCAAACAGCAGTACTACCCTAAAAGCACAGCACCAATCTTCATGACTTTCCTTTCAAGGTTTGTACATAGTAATACTCTAGTTGTACTCTAGTTACTGACTTTTGCAGATTTTTACATATTGGGACAATATTTGTTGACTCTAGAACAGTAGTCAAACAGCATGATCACACAAAGAATACTGCACAGGTGCTCAAACCTTTCTTTTCAATGTTTGTACTTCATTTGACTCTTCCCCCTAACATTTAAGGGCAAGTTAAAACCTTTTCTCTGTTCATACCAATTTTTTAGTTATCCCTTGACAGCTGTCCACTTATCTGCAAGTTTTTTAACAATTTTTAAAAACTGTTTTGAAATTGTTTACGGGAAGAGCTTGATAATGCAGCTGATAAGCATTGCCTAAATAATATGTCTATCTTGACCACAAGTATTAAATACACCTGACTTCAAAGGAACGACTAAACCTTGTTACTGGCATTTATAATGTTAGTGATTGTTGATTGAATTTGGGATAGTTTTACTGGGAGTAGTTGCCCTGAGGTAGTTGTATGTTCAATAATTGTCATGGAGAAGTTGTCTGGGCAGTAATCGTCCCAGGGCATAGTTCTCCTGTGGGGATTGTTGTCCGGAAGAGGCCAGCAGTATCAGTTAGTTGTCCAGGGGATGGTAGTCCTGAGACAGTCTGCATAGTGTAAGCCCTGAAGTATAAGTAGTTTGTTCCATCTGATGAAAGTGAATTCAAATATTGCTTATTATGAATCTGAAGGCTGTATTTCAAATAATATCTCTCTATTCTTCAATTTATCTTTCATTGATGGATAAAAACATTGCTTTTAACCATTAAAGATCCATATAAGCATTCAATTTGTATCATATTTATATTTTCTTTTCTTGAACCTACAGACCTAATTCAAAGATTGATGATTGCTTGAGTGCGAAACATGGTCTGATGCAAGCCATCTATCAGCTGTGAACAGCAGTCAATTACTATTTTAAGAATTGACTCACTTGACTTTTTTTCGAAATCTTAAGCTCAAGGAGCGAGACACAAGAGATGCCCACTATCTGCAATTGCAGGAACAAATCTTATTCTTCAATGAACAAAACTTGTTATTTTAAATGTTAATCCTGGATCATGGAACTTTTATTTCTTTGGAAAGCATTAAACAATTGAATTGCATTCTTATTGGTGATACAACTGGTTGCCTTGGCTGATCAATGTCATTGTGATATTTCATTCCAGCCACCAGATACTTCTATTTGATTTCTAAGTCCAGTGAGAAAGTAGCATCCAAAGTTTGGGGCGCATGAAAATGTAAGTTGGCATAACACTTTTCCAGTCAACTATCATGCTTTCTCCTCATGTATGCTGATTATATTGTACAAGTGAGAGATAATGATTTTGTAAACTGCCCTATTTATGGACAATAAATCTTCCGTAGGGTGAAATCAGAAATATAGGGCAACAAAGCATTTGTAATATACAGTCAAACCTGTCTTTGTAGTCCCCTCTCTATAAAGACCACCTGCTATAGTGGTCACCCATATTGCTCCAACTAGATGGAAATGTGTGGTGAAGAACAGGACTCAGTCTTCTAAAGAGTTACAATTGATCCAAATCAATCGTAAGTTCTCAAATCAATCACAACTTTACAGTCTCTTATCTCTTATGTACATAGTTGTGATTGATATCAACTCTTTATAAGACAGGGCCCTGGTCTAAAAGGGTAGTCTGTCTACAGAGGCCACTTTGGTGGCTTAATAGACAGGTTTGACTGTACATCAACATTCAGGTTTCTTCTGTAGGTAATCCAGAGGAGACTATGTAAAGGCTTGCATTCTTTTGAAATTTGTAGATTCACTAGAACATCTTTCTATAACAACAAACCAAATGATTGGTCTACTCAAGTTCAACAGAGCTACAGGTTAGATCTCTGTTTACCTCTGTGTAATCTGGTATTGGGCTGAAACCATTCAAACCATGCAACCTTATATCTCATCTTCAGTACTTGCTGTGAACTTCATCTCTTTGAAAATATGATGAATTTTAATTATGTAGTAGTGATTATGATACAGTGAGTGATTTCAAGTTGGGTGTTTAAGGCTAGTGTTAGTGTTTAATAAACACTAACACCAGCCTAAACACCGAAATGGAAATCAGCTGGTGTTAAGGTTTTGACCTCTGAATATCGTCAACTTCCGGTAGCTAGTGTTATCGATTTTGCAAAATTGTCGTCTGCTGAACCGACCTTTGTGGCTGGTGTTAATATTTTACGTACAAATGTCCTATTCACTAACACTAGCCCCTAGGGATTAAGCAAATGTTGATTTACAGTTCGGTGTTAGTGTTGTATCCGCACACAGTCAACGCACGAACGACGCCAATTTATTGTCCGACAATCAAATAAAAATATGTGAAACAGGTAATTCATATATTCTTATGTGTAAAATGAGTTATTTTATAAGACCAGAGAAATAGGTGTAAATTTATTCTTTACTTTTCATGATATCTTTAGTTTTGATGTACTATTTTTAAATCATCGTCGTGAAATGAAGTATGTGGTGACGTCACAGCTGGTGTTAAGCTATCGATTTTGATATCGGTATCGGGCTCTTAATTTCATCAGTAAATTTTCCGCTCGATTTAAGAGCTCTTGACTGCTCTAAACACTAACACTAACACTAACACCCAACTTGAAATCACTCAGTGTATAACTACAAGTACAAGTATCGGAAATGAGATTATTACCTTACTCCCAAGTCACTTTGTGGCTACCTTAATCAGTGTTTATATTGTTGCTACATTATGTGCAGCAAGCGTGATTAATCAGCAATGTTGTCTAAAATATGTATTTGCATTCAATTCCACATGTACAATAATATTTCAAAGACAGATGAGCTTTTATAGATGCTGTTATATCTTGTGTATGTAAGAGCAAACCACATCCAAGTGTGAAAAAGAAAAGCTTTGTCCTCAAAAATTGCAGGCAGAAAGAAAGATGCAATGTAACAGATAGGAACCTAATTATAACATAGTCTTTTAGACTAAGCAAATTACCTTGTGACATTGAATTAGGGCTCATAAACAAAAATTTAAACATGTACTGAAAAATCACCTTGTTATAACAAGATTTAGTGATGATGGTGTCCATATAGAGGTTCCATTGAACATGCATCGTGTCATTTAGAAAACGAATGTGCCTTTTTCAGCATGCCTGCATCGTGAAACAACCAAACACATTATTTTTTTATACCGTGTTGGAGAAGATTTAGAAATGTAGTAAAGTAATTTGTTTTAAGGTTATGATCCAGCTTCTGTCGTTTCTGGATAGATTAGATGAACCGTTATAATGCAAATATTGGCATACCGGTACCTACCAAGTATCATATTCAGATGAACTACATGTAGTTAAGTTTAATACCATTTACTTTTGTGAAATTTGGACATGAAACCAGTAGAGCACTTTTTGTTTTAATACCTGTAAATAATGTATGTAAAGTTAGCTGATTATGGTTAAATTTTGTAGGCGTGTCTCAGAAAAGAGCACACTATTCTGTTGTATTGTGAGACAACGACTGAATTTCTATGACATGTATGTAAATAAAAATTAGCCAATTGTAAACATAAGTTATTTTGCTCTTTTTTGTTGTGCCTTTGATTGATCAATGTGATTTTATACTTATAGTTAAAGTGACAGGCTGAACAATAGGATAGTACATTGTACTTTAAAGAAGTAAAGCCAGGTACCAGTGGAAGAGGGGAGAAGAGAGGTGAGAGGAAGAGAAAAAAAGAGGGGGGGGGGTGTGTGTGTGTGTGTGTGTGAGGGAGATAGAAATAGAGAGATGAGGGGTACAAAGAGAAAATATAGTTGAAAGATCAATGTCTGAGCTCTGATATACCGTACCACTTGCTTCCACTACAGTGTGTACCAGAAAAAAAAGAACAGAGTTATCAATGTTTTATCATAACTTAATCACAATTAAAATTAATAGATGACACATTTATAAAACTTAGATCGTCCTCTTTCGTTTGATGCAACTCATATGATGCATATTTCACGCACGAGTGATTAAAAAAATTTGAAGAGAGGGTACCAAAAAGTCATTTTGCAGGCGGTATCTGAATTTCAAAAAGAAAATCACATTTCTAGAAAGTTCATTTTCTAACCTTTCATGACACCTCAATCTAAAAAAATGAGCCAGGAAAAACAAAGTTGTCTTTGTTTAAAGTAATGCTTGCTTTTCCATAATTTGATTAAACAAAATCGTTTTCACTGGCTGCCTGCCGTAGCAACAAACAGAGTTGACAAAAGATTTAACTCCTCAGCCATGCCCAAAGAAGACAAAAGACACAGTGCAATATAGTTAGTAGAGACATGGAAAGAGAGAATAGGAAGATGTATTATACTAAAGAATAGTGGAAGCAAGTGGAGAGGAAATTTTGTTTGGTATTGAAGTGTTTTTCTTAGTTTTTTTGTATTGTAGTAGGCACCTCATAAAAAATAATGATACTACAGTGTAGAAGCAGATTATTTATGTAACAGGGGTAATAGTGAGAGTTGAAGAAAAAAAAGTTTTAGTCATGAAAAGACAGCACCCCCCCCCCCCCCCCCCCCCTTAATTTTAAGCCGGATTTGCATCAATCTCAGGGACTATTCATTTTTTAGACAAATAAATTAAATTAATAAATAAAAACAAAATCAGGAAGTTATCAGGTTTGAAAGTAACTATCTTCCCTGACTTGACCACTCATTCTAGAATTATTATCCCATCTGAATCTTTCTCATTTCCACCACTCTTCTGTCTTTGACAGTGGTTCTTTCAAGACTTCAAACTTTTAAAATCCACAATTCAAACATCCTTTCATATCTCCTCAAAAAGAATCTTGACCTTCTTTCATTTCCTTCCTTTATCTTCTTCTTTCACTTTTCACTGCACCCCCTCTCAGGATGCAAGGAGGGGGGGGGGGGGTGGTGATTATTTTAATATTATTCCACACTGAAATTGAATTAACTGTCACTCTCCCCTGTGTGTTTTTTTAAAGTGTACCAGTCACCAAACACAATTTGGTTCTGTACGTTAGTACATGTGTATTTTCATGTGGTATTACATGTACTACATGAACTTCAAATGTTACTTCTGAACAGAGATATTGCAAGTTTACACAATTATACTCTCTCAAACATATGAGCACTCAGCACACACGGATCCGAAGTCCAACTTAGGTTGATTGTTCAGTGCATTATCCTTAATTGCCTTCATACTCCTCACCCATTGACCCATAGAATGTGGGATGAAGTTTATTTTAAAGTTTATTTTAAATTTTTGATACATTCTAGCTGAACACAATTTGTTTGGTGATTGCTACACTTTAATGCCTATACACAGAATTTTCAGTGGTATTCACTCTCTCAAAGCCAAGGCAAGCTAGTATACTTCCATCCCTCAATCATACAAAACACACTCCTATGCATGATTAGCTCCTTCACAGTTCATATGCACCATTTGATGTTTGTTCCTCATTTCTTGAATAGACCATTTTTCTTTTTGAGCATTGGGTATGTTTATCTCTGCCAGCATACTCATCTTTTCAAAACAATCAATTTGTTCATGTCCATTTCACATGCACGATGTTGTCGAGTCAGAAGCATCTTTGACAAACCAAAGGCAACTTTAAACAACTAAAATATATACATAGGTTCAGATTCGTAATTTAATTGGCCAATTCAAGAAAGGGGACTGTCGCCTACAAACTGGGCCTAGTTTCTCAAAACTGTCTATATCTAATTCATGGATATCCTTTGGAAACGTGTTAATTATGTAACACGTTTCAATGGGATGTCTTGGAAGTTAAATTTTTGACGATTTTGAGAAACAGCCTCTAGTATTCTGTAAACAGCATACACGTCACACTACAGCAATAGATGACACCAATTGAAATCAAGGAACTGTAAGTTTATTTCATTTTTTTGTTTATTTTATTATTTTCTGCTGTGAATTTACACCCCGTCTCTGGCCCTGTTCAGAAGAAGAAGCCCAGGATCTTGCCACCGACGTGTTTTCTCCTCGCCTCCTCGTGATCCATGATACCTCCCGATGTGGTCAGGACTACATACCTGTATACACACACATACAAGAAAGATATTCATTGAGTAAACATACATTTAAAATCACAAAAATAACCAGGCCTGTAAGAGGCTTAACAATACACCAGTTAACTGTATCTCAATTTAGGTAAGCATCATCATATTTGTGTATATACTTTAGTATACTCGAGTACTCGCACTGTTAACAACTCAAGTACGATTTCTTGTACTCAAATACTCGGCAGCCATTTTTTGTTTTTGCCAGCGCTTGGCACTGTCCAGGCCGACGCTTACCCGTGCCCGGGAGGCAGCGCCGGCATGGTACAGCGGATAAAAAAGTTTCCCAGCTCAATCACTGTCAACTCACCACTCAGAAACTGGGACTAAATGTCCGGATTTCTGTTTGGACTCAGAGGAAAATGGATTATTCTGTCATCTTTGGTTTTAAAAACAGCATTGTTCACTATTATTATTATGGCGTCCGAGTAATGGAGTATTCGCCTGTAAGCCTGGGAGTGTACTCGAGTACCTCATTACACGGTTATGCACAGCCTTACAGGAAACTTATACGATGATTTAAGCATAACATTTTGCTACCTGAAATATTCAATGGTGACTCAAGAGGACCTCCTGGAAGATTGTGCATTTATAATTGACATTCTCTTAATGTTCGTTCACTTATATTTACATTGTTATATTTTTTGTGAATTGCTGAATAAATGATAAATAAGTAAATAAATAAATAGTGCAAAAAAAAGTGGGCTTGGTGATTTTGCCTGTTTCGCACCAAAGAGACATTCTTGATGGTCAGGTTAGGACAAAAATTATTTTCATGAATATTTGAGTAAGGTCTCAAAAGGGGGGAAGGGGGTATTTTGAGGGTTGATGATGATGAGTGGAGAAACTCAAGTTAAATGTCCCAGTAGAAAGGTATTACCACAATAGACTCACCCAAACTGTCTAGATGGAAGGAGATTGCTGGTCCATTTCTCCATTTCGTTGATGGGCACATCAAAGCGAGGACTGATCACACCACACTGAGGAAAAATAAAACATTAAACATACGATGAATGCATGGCAGGGAATTTACAATTTACGCGAGGCTTATACACACTCCATTCACACTTTTAATTGGGTTACAGAGACAAAAGTAAAGTTTTCCCAAACAAAAACCGGAATCAAAGTATGGAGATGAATAATTTTGTTTAAAAATAATCATTTAAGTAATGTCCCTCCTTTCCTAAACATACTGATCCAATAGTGCCTTGGTTACCCATCTTCCATGGTATAATCATAACCAGGCAAATCCTGCTCTACCTAAACAATATTCTGATAACAATGTAACAATATTCAGATAGGAAAGAATATTTTTGCCCATCTCTGTTATCTCAAAGCGTTTAATAAGCAAATTTACAGAGTACTTCCAAAATCTTCTGGGACATTTCTGTTAGTGAAGGGCTCATCCTATTTGACAAATAACGAGAGCTCTCACATTCACTGTGTATCGTTCCAAATATTTTTATCCAGGGTTTTATGTGAAAATTGTATTGTTCTTTTGGCTAACATTATTACTGGTCCAATCTTACACAATTTTCTAATGAGCCTCTAATTTTTCAAATCCAATTTCTATGACCAGCTGCATCTCAACACTGATATTCACCGCATGAGCTTTCCGCATGAGCTTTAAAGTTGATACTCTAAGACAATCCCAAATACTGAGATAATTACATAAATAGAAAGCTTTTAACCCCCATAATAACACCAAATGGTGTCCACCCGACAAAACAAGTTTAGAATAATGAATTTATTCGAGTAAACTCTACCAAAATATCTAAGTCTGAAACCCGGAAGTGCACGTAGAGTCGGGCCTCTATCCGTGACGTCACGAACGGGACTCATGGGCTCAGTGAGAGTGAATGGCAGTGATATCCCTACGTAAATGCTATCCTGTCAGAGCTTAGATTTGTTGTTGTTAAGGAGTATATTTGATGGATTTTCTGTTTTCATTTGAATGAAGAATAACGAAGCAACATTTTCCAGTCGCTGATTTCTTTTTATATCCTCATATTCACCTATTTGGTAGAGATTTGAGACGAGTTTACTGCTTAGGAATTAAAGTTAAATCGTGCACGTATGAATAGGCGGATGCATTATATCGTCATCAGATAAGGTACAGGAGCAGTTTTGTAAAACGAATAGGTCTAGAACTATACTTATCATAGATGTGTGTGACTGCCTCAAAAAAGGATACAGTACCAGTTAAACATTTTATGTTGTAAAATATCAAACTTGAACGAGATCATTCAAGCGCGCTTCCTCTATAACATTTTGGCGAGTGATGCGGCTCTTGCATGAACTTTCGTGAAGCGAGCAGAATCGGGAGGTAAGACCAAGCCGCTGCTCTAGGCGCTGCTTGCTTGTGATGGAACGTACGTGCGCTAGTTATATGTTTATCGGCAGTTGCAAGAGAATGAAAGCGACGTTGCCAGCTAAGAAAAACAACTAACAAAGACTTGCTCCTGACTACCGGTGTCAGAATTGGTAGATGAAGGATCTTCAGGGCCAAGGAAGGCGAAAGACATGGGGAAAAGGAAGAAGAAACCATCGGGAGTTCGCTGTAGTGTAAGGTAATGAACTGTGCATGGGTAGACAGCTACTGTTCACTCCGTGCCTGGGCCGATTTCAACACCAAAACAAAAATTACATGGTGAAAATATCGACTAATAGCACATCGTTGGCATGTATATGTCATAATGTTTAAAAGGGGAATTGATATTAATACTATGAGGTACTAGGGGAAGGTAAAGAATTGTACATAGAATTATGATTTATTAGACTTTTCAGCCTTTGAAACAAAAATATGCAGAAAATCGTATCACTCTGCACATGTTTGCTATGGAACATCCGGGTACGTGAATATACTCTTTCCCGGACGTGAGGTCATAAATAGTAGACCAGCGCCGTGACTGATTTTCTATGCAAAGAGAGGCGGATATTTTCGACATTTCAATCGAGGATTTCGAGTAGACAGAATTTTTGTGTGATATACTAAGTAATTGAAAAACTTAAAAATAACATATACTTGCCGTAGGTAACAAATTAAGGGACATTTATTTGCTTAGAGTATCAACTTTAAACATCTATCATAATCAGGAAATGGTTTACACTTATTACCATGAAAATGTGATAGGCCCTTAGTAAGTTATTAATTTCTTTGCAAAATATGAAATACCATCCTTTCATTCAAATACCATGATGACCATCAACCAAGGACTTACATCTTGTGTAATCGATTATGGCTTAAATTTCAGAGAAAAGATACAAACCTTGTTGAGTCTGCCGTTGAGGTTGACAATGATCTTGCCTCCCCTGTGGTCGTCTACGATCTCAAATTCCCCAATGTATCCTGAAATAATACAAAAATAGCAATGATAATAATAGTGGAGTGAACTTGTATAGTGCTCATATCTGGCACTTTGCCATTCCTGGCGCTCCATTATTATTACCCTGGCTTTAGCACAAGGTACAGAGAGAGAGAGAGAGAGAGAGGGTGTGGGGCGATGGAGTAAGAGTAAATATATACAAGGTTATATTAGCACTTAAATTTGTGTTTATTGCAAAGACTTCATACAGAATTGGAGTACACATAGAAATCACAACAGTCTTCTCTATCATCAATAATCCTGCCTAACATGTACAGCTGGCTGCATTATTTCATTGGATATTCAGGCATGGTCTTACAAACCTTTTATTCAATCGTAATCCCCTTGTAAACGAAGTAATAACGAAGGATTGATTTGGGTAATATAAAATAATGGCATAAAAACACAGATTGAAATCGAGACTTTGCTGTCTTAAAAAGAATACTGAACATGTTAGACCATTACAAACATTTCTCTGAAAATGAAAGCAGTGAACATTTCATGTTGAAATGGAATGTGGGCTACTCACCATGCTTCATCATCACCATAAGGAACTTGACAGTAACCTTGGAGCATGGTCTGATCAGCACTTGACGCTTGCATCGTTTCTCAGCATTGCAGATGCACCTCAGTGCGTCTGCCAATACATTCATACGCACCATGGTGGCCTAGATAGGAGAAAAATAAATAGTAATTTTTGTTGCAATCTTTGAGTTTGGCGCTTATTTTTTTCTCCCATCCCACTTCTGACAAGTTGACAGAGATGCCGGAATTCAATATAATTTAAAAGACAGAGATCTAGACCTCTAGATCCATCTAGTCTATAGAGCAAAATTTTCAGACAATGTCTTTTAAACTTGATTCCAAAGGAAATTTTGTGACTAGGAAATGGTATGTTTTCATCTGGCAAGGGTCACATCAGATCGTTTGACATTTGGAACCATCTGCAAATTAAGGTAAAGCGTCACTATGGTCACACCACGTACCACCATACACACAGAAATCTGAATCGATAGCCATGCCTCAGCCCCAAGCAGCACTACAAATACAATTTCATCAGTAGCCGCTGGTCTGAGAATAAGGATCGTCTACTTAAACAAACAAACAAGGATATGTGAATATCATCCTCAACGCAGACAAATTGTGTCAGTTTTTTTTTCATTGACGCTCTGCACATTTTGGGTTTCTGAACCGTGCACATGTGATGTGAAAAATGGATTCTGCGTGATAAAATAACCCCAGTTCACCATCTACTTTCATGGGCAGTAGGGGCGCTGGTCCAAGAATGAGGATCGTCCTCATAAACAAGGATATCCTCATAAACGAGGACAAAATGCGTCCTCAAAAATAAGGGTTGTCTGCATTTTTGAGGACGTTTTTTTTCATTGGCGCTCTGCCTCTGGGGGTTTCATGTTACAGAACGGCCTGCTGGCGATGCCAAAAATGGATTCCCCGGGGGAAAATAACCCTAGTTCATCGTCTACTTTTATGGGTTGTCCGTCTTCCCAAGGATTTATTGCTTATAATGTGAAAGTCTCTGTACAATGTCAATGTAAAATGCATCAAGAAAATCATTGCAGAATCCGTTTTTTGCATCGCCAATGCACCGATCAAAAATATGAAACGTCTGCAAAAATGCAGACGGTCCTTATTTTTAAGGACGCATCGGTCTGTGTTTACGAAGACGGTCTGTGTTTACGAAGACGATCCTCGTTTATGAAGACGATCCTTATTCTCGGACCAGCGCCCCTACTGATGGGTAGTCCGTCTTCCCAAGGATTTATCGCTCATCACATGAAAGTCTCAGCAGTAGGGGCGCTGGTCCGAGAATAAGGATCGTCTTCATAAACGAGGATCGTCTTCGTAAACACGGACTGATGCGTCCTCAAAAATAAGGACCGTCTGCATTTTTGCAGACGTTTCATATTTGTGATCGGTGCATTGGCGATGCAAAAAACGGATTCTGCAATGATTTTCTTGATGCATTTTACATTGGCATTGTACAGAGACTTTCACATTATAAGCAATAAATCCTTGGGAAGACAGACAACCCATAAAAGAAGACAGGGAACTAGACTAGGGTTATTTTCCCCCGGGGAATCCATTTCTGGCATCGCCAGCAGGCCGTTCTGTAATATGAAACCCCCAGAGCGCCGATGAAAAAAAACGTCCTCAAAAATGCAGACAACCCTTATTTTTGAGGACGCATTTTGTCTTTGTTTATGAGGATATCCTTGTTTATGAGGACGATCCTCATTCTTGGACCAGCGCCCCTACTGCTCAGTAGATCTAGATCTAGACAGTACAAATACGGACGATCCTCATTTTGGCAGACGTGTCTGTCAGCGTTTAATAAGACGATCCTCATTTATGTGAACAATTCTTGTTCTCGGACCAGCGCCCCTATTGAAAAGTGCATTCACCCCAATTTCATTCCCAGTCCCACTTCGCGGTTCTGGAGACAAGCCATGAATGAACATGATGAATCAGGACAGTAGGGTAGAGTACCCAGTATTCGGTCACTTAAGGGGAAATCACTAATATTTTGAATTCTTACCTCTTTCATTGGGCAATCTACCCATCAAAAGAAAAGAAATTTATTCCTCTAACAGGATTTTATAGTCACTGAAAATATAGAATAACGATAAGCAAAAGACTTCCGAAAGAAGACGGAGCATTTTTCTGCCCAGAATTCGGTCGCGCCGACTAGAATTCGGTCACGCGATTTGTGCGTGGTATCTCCGTTGCAAAGGAGCGTAGCGTATTTGCGCACTATTTTCACACAATTGCGCAATAAAGCACTGAATGTCAATGCGTTGACCGAATACTGGCTGAGCGATACCGCATGGCAAGGGTATCGTATAAATACCTCTTGCACATCGGCAAGTGCGTCATTTGCAAATTCGCTGCGATGGAGCGAACACGGAAGTGATTCTCTTCACACACATACTAAATTCATTGTGACAGCACACGTAGTGGTTTCGCAATAGACTTCTACATATGGCTATGCATGTTAGCGCATGTGCTAAGAGAACGCGAAAGTGCGGAAAGTTGTGCGACACTGACCAATTTCGAGCTAAGTTGGAGATCATTCCGGGGCCCTAAATCTGATTTAATTTTGAGAGTTAAGAAAAATTGTTCAGCTGCCTGATTTGTGCAAGTTTCGTGGCTCATAAATTATTTTTTAAATTGTTACAGCTGGCTGTTGAAACGGCTGTCTGACCGAATACTGGGAATTGACCGAATACTGGGCGCGCTACCCTAGAGTAGAGTCTCCGGTTTGCGGCATCGCCCGGTTTGCGGCCAGGGGTATTTGTTTCAAAAATAAAATGAATATGACTCGATAATAATCATTGAAACCTACCGTGGATTCCACGGTAAGTTCTGCTTTGCCGAAAATGTCCGTAGCAGGTGCTCCTATCGGTACGGAGTATCCGTCAGCGATGTCGGAAATCTACGGCACCAGTCGCCGATGAAAATTCCAGCAGGTGCTAACTTTTAAGTTAAGAGATCGAGGCATGACTAGATCAATATTGTAGCTTTATTTGTCCGATATTTGTCCGATTGGAGGTGAAATTTGATGTTTTTGTGGAAGTATGATGGCTGTGGTCTGTCTCCTATCGCAGATATTTTGAATGTGCCACCGCATGGCTAGTTGCATGGGGTGACCGCAAACCGGCACGTAATTACGTGTTTTTCTGGTTTGCGGCAGGGGGTGTTAATACACACATAACATGCGGGATCGTGTATGATGGTATGTGTGCTGATGTGTGTACCCCCTATGACCCGATAGTTTCTAGTAGTACGTACCCCCGTATGGGATGATCCATTCGAGGAAAAGGTGAAATTGTTTAAAACTTCACAAATTTACCGTAGCAACAGATAAACATGAGAATTTGGGTTACCCGTAGTAATTTGGTACATGCTTTCATCGTGACGTAGCGCATAAAGCTTTGTGACGTACGCGTGCCGCAAACCGGTACTGCGTGCCCGCAAACCGGGGAACTCGAAGCATTTCGAAACATGGTCAATGCTGACCACGCTGTGGGTCAGTTTGGTTATTTGTGACTTCTATTTAATAAGTAAGTATATGGACTCTTTATTGAGGGTATTGAAGTATTCTGTGAGTATTCCAATAAAAATAGAATCGGCAGTTCCCGCCGATCGGCCGCAGACCGGAGCCACTACTCTAGACACAAACAAAAATTGAAAATCTAGCCCCATAGTAACAAGTGACATGGCTTACTAAATTCACGAGATACTCATTCTGGATTTTAGCAACACAAATACAGAAATCAGTTACACAGTGATAGGACACGCAGGCTCCCTAAGGCTAAGCTAAGCTACGCCGCGAAATTCTACAGGCGGTACGGGAGCGAGCTGCGCTGCACTGGTGATATGGCTATGTCACCGTACACAACACGTATGTTTTCCTGCGATGCTTGTCCTGAATTGGAGTAATATTTCTTATTTCCATAATTATTTGTATGACAGGGTGCCTTTAGCAGTTACAATGGGTGATCATTTCAATAATTACGAACGACTTTCATTCACAATGTATTAAATAGATTAGATTTAGAGCGATTTTAAAAGTTGTTTCGTTTGAACTAACCCTTGGTACAAGATCGAGATTGAAAAAGGTCAATCAAACCGGAAGTAATCTCTATCACAATTGGCAGTCGTTGATACCAGTCGTTTTGCATTATCCCATATCATTCTATTCACATAATACATTACCATCCACTCAAGTTTATACAAAGCATATGCCTAGAAAAACGATTTTAGAAATATAGATCTATCTATATTTTTAAAAAGTAAACTGCAATTCTCATTAGCAATGACGGATCTTATCAAATTCACTGCAGACTACATTTTTATGCAACGATGAAACGACTGGTATTGACTCTTTGTTTATAAAATTTAGTTTGTGCGGAAAAGCTGCGAAAGCCCTCCATTTCAGCGGTAAAAAGTGACAAAAGGTGAGTATTTCAAAAGGTGTAAATTTGAAAATGGTGAGTTGATATTTTTAAGAGTAATGAGGTCAGAGTTATATAAATGATGATAAACAAATTTGATAGTAACTGACCTATGTTATTTCTTTAGCAACCATTAACAAGTCCTTAACAACATTCTTAGTTCAGTCCCATAAACTTTTTTCTGTGTCCTGTTCTGCCTTTTTTTTTTCTTCTCCATTAAGTAGGGTGTCTGCTGATCGCGCACCCGATGTTGTGTGCTAAAATCCCTCCCGAAGCTCAGTCCACGCTACGTGCATTGCGCGATCATGCAAAATTGGTCGATGATTTTATGAACAAATTGAAATTCAAACCTTTGATTTATTCCTTGTGATCCTGAAGGTGAAACTCAATAAATGAGGTGTAGATCTAGACTAGAGTATAGTTTATGGAGAAAAACCTGCTCTTTCATATGAGTCATATGAAAAAGCAGGTTTTTCTCCATATTCCTCAAAGGGCCGCACCCCTGAAATTCTAAAAATATCTTGGATAAAACAGCGATGGAAATGTTGTTTGCATCCTAGCTCCAAAATGTGCAACTTTCCTGAACCGCGCCCCCCCCCCCCCCCCCTTAGAGTAGACCCTATGCACTTATTTTTTTGCTAGCCCCAAGAGATCACTCGCCCCAACACCCAACAGCTTAAAAATACCCTTCCCCTTATTTGTTGGATCAGCTAATTAGGGAGGCGTGTGCTCAGCTCCACTCGGTCCAAACCATGGTTACATTGCGTAACAACTGCACATATATATGCATTCGGACCGCGTACGAATGAAAACCGGAACATTAAACGTTTTAATCGCTGTTTTGACCAAAATATTTTTATAATTTTTTTTTGGGGGGGGGGGGGATGGCGGCCCTTTGGGGAATATGGAGAAAAACCAGCTCTTTCATATTATGACACCTCATTTATTGAGTTTCACCTTCAGGATCACGAGCAATAAAGGTTTGAATTTCAATTTGTTCATAAAATCATTGACCAATTTTGCATGATCGCGCAATGCACGTAGACTGCATAGGGATGCGTGCAATCTCTATGGGAAGGATTTTAGCACACAACATCGGGTGCGCGATCAGACACCCTACACGTAGTCTAGGTCTAGACTGGATGTAGTAGATCTAGATTCTAGGTGCATTACTATTCTGGCTGTGTTTTAACCAGTTGTGTTTCGTAGCTCAGTGGATCCATCGTTTCTGAAGTTTTTATGAAAACACGCATACACATGTAATCATACCCAGTCTTTACTTTCAGCAATCTTGCAGTAAATGAACAGTTTTTTTGACAAAAAAAAAATTGTATTTTACCCCAAAATATAACAAATTAATGTTAGATTAATCCACTATTTATTCCAAATATTAATATAGATATTGCAATTATCATATAATTATTTATTTTAGATGGTGTAAATATGACTACGTTAGCTGAAGCACGTCACACAAGATGTAGGGAGAGGAGTTTTGTGGGTAAACCCAGAAAGATATCCAGTGGTCTACCACTAACCAGAGTTCAGCGTGTAGCGCATCGCTCAGACATTCTTCTTGATGATCAGGTAAGATAGAAATCTGCAGTTCAAACACGTTTCTCATTGGATAATCAAGCCAGTACCTCCAGTATGATTTATAGTAATATGAACATTTACACTTTATTTGATTGTTTAGTGATATAGTTTCATATTCATATTCAATTCATATTCAAATTTATTGTCCAATGATTGGAAATTTGTTTCATTTGCATGTCAGTACAAGATTACAAATTATAAACATCAATAAGATACAGATGGATACAGAGTAGAACATTTAACTTGAGCATAGGTAACAACAAATGCGATAGTTCAACATGCAGACTACAATTCTATTCATAATTCAGACTAAGTAGTTGAATTCAATTCATAGTTCGGATTAAATTAAATTCGCATTTCAGATTAAATACAATTAAAGATTCAGACCAATTCAATTCGTAATTCAGATCAAATCCATTTCAAATCCCGATCACATTCAATTCGTAATTCAGATTAAAATAAAATTAACAAAATCAAATCACATTCAATTTATAATTCAGACTAAGTAATTAGATTAAATTCATAATTCGGTTTAAATTAAGTTTACAATTCAGATTCAATACAATTCATGATTCAGACAAATTCAATTCATATTTCAGAAAATAATTCAATTCAAATACCGATCACGTACAATTCATAATTCAGATTAGATTAAATTGACAATTCAGGTTAAATAAATTCACAATTCAGATTAAGTACAATTTATAATTCAGATCAATTCAATTCACAATTCAGATCAAATCCATTCGAAGATTAGTTAAAGCATGTGCTTGCTTTTTTTTTTATATGAATACAGATAATTATATGTTTGCTTTACAATTAAAAAGTCTTCAAATAGTTGCATTTTGTGTCTCAGGCCAAGTAGTTTTAATTCCTAGTTTGTTGTCTGAATTAAAGTTAAAATGTTACCTATTCATTTCTGGTGGATGGACACAAATGGTGGAGGGCAGAACTTAAGCAAGTGGACTGGAATGAATTATAGGTAAAAATTTCTTATCATCATCAAAAACTAAGCCAATTTCTGCTGTTCATGAGCAGAACCAGAATTTGTAATATATATATATATATATATATATATATGTTGTGGTTATTTTGCAGATATCGTTAGTGAAAGATACTCAGGATGCCTTAGAGAAAGCGATGTTGTTGATGTCATCATGTAAGGACCCTAGAGAACAGAGAGGATGGGTGAATGAGGTTGATAGACTCAAGCTACAATGTGATGAGATGCTTCTTATACTCAAGGTAGGTAGGAGGGATGAGAGGGATATGAAGAGGTAATTCAATTGGGAGGAAAATACATGTGAGGAAGATTATAATAATGGTTTGAGCAAATATATGCTTTTGTTTGTTATTTCATTTAAAAAAATTCTTTTAGTTCCCAGCCTTTGTACCATAGTATGTATGGTGATACTCATGATATTGATCATAACTGCAGTGATAATAAGACAATATAATATTGTGCAGCTTTTCTTTCAAGGTGGTTTTGATTTTGAATTTATGAAAAGTCTAAAAAACTTGAATTTTTGCTTTTGTATTTATTTTAAGGCAACAAATGGCTCTCCATAATGTTTAAGTCCAACTTAGAGTTAAGTTTGACTTACGATCTTTGTGAAACACCCCCTGGTGGCAGTTGTAAAGGTGGACAATGGTGGACCTAAAGTCAATACTATCTTGATGATCTTGACCCCCGTTAGGTGGTGAGGAAGCTGAGTGCAGAGCTACTCTATGCCAAGGTAGAGGTAGAACAAGCTGCTCAGTCTCAGGGTAATGTTGCTGCTGCTCGGAAGAGGGTTGTCTGGCTAGAGGACCGGATGGAACATCTTCTTGGTCGCTATAGGAATGAGTTCAGGCTTAATTCTCCATTGGTAAATAACACAATTCACAACTTTATTCACTTAACAAGATGAACAGGCTTTGAATGTAAGGTTTTTATTCATAAGCAACATTTTTTAGCATTTTTTAACATTTTGGCCGAGAAATCATGTAGAGAGATCAATTTTCAACATTAAATTAAAAATGAAAAAATTTATTTGACTACTATTTTATGATTATCACGCAAGTGAAATTAAGGAAATTATTATTCTATGAAAGGGCACTCTGTTTTTCCACAATGTTCATATTAATTAGTCAGGTTTGGTACAAATATAAGTTAATTGTGCTTATTTTCATTGGTAGAGGCCTCGACCTACATGAAGTTGCTTTTTAAAAACATTCAAAGGAAAGTGTTGGGCCATGTGATTATTTCTAGTAATAAAGTTTTCTAAAGGCCTGACTCAATGTGTGTCTGATGTATTACAGCCCATACAACCAAGGTTTGTAACAGAGAAGAAAACTCGACCAGGAGCAGGTCGAGCAGGAACACACCAGACCAAGCGCACTAATGACTCATCTAGACCCAAGTCTATCCTCAAACCTCCTAGAAGTCATCTTACAGATGATGAGGATGAGAGAGATGTGATGAGATCAAGAGGAAGGGAGAGAGGACAGACGAACATTGACAGGCCAGGTCTCAACAGGAATCACAGACGTCAGAGAAACGATCTCAGGGGTCTGGAGACAGATGAGACTCAGAGCACTGGGGATGAGGCTGGAGGGGACGGAGAATGGGTTGCTAAGCAACGGTTGGCTCTCCGCAGCAGGGGTAGACCAGGAGGGGCGGGGGAGAGGGGAACAAGAGGAGCAAGAGGTGAACAGGGCGGTGGTGGTGATGTACAAGGTGGCAGGATTCAGGCCATGAGGTCGCATCAAGTTGGCGTGGATACGGAAGACGAGGAAACAGATGGATCCCTGGAATTAAAACGTCATCCCAAAAGAGAGAGAGGGATGAGACCGGGTGGGGGAAAAACAAGAAATCAGGCTGTGGAAGAAAGTAGCAAAGATTCCAGTGAAGATATCAGAAGTAAAGGGAGGAGAGCCACAGAGACTGAAGACGATGATGAGGAAGATGAAGAGGATGAAGATGAGGAGACAGTTGGTGAACTAAGCACAAGAAGTGATCTGGATGAGGGAGATCTTGGACGAATTGAAAATGGCGTCTTCATGACACAGGAGTCCGCTCTGTCAGAGGGTGAGTTATTGTAGTACTATAACATATGATGACATTGTAGTTGTTATAAAGTAGTAGATATATGTATTATGTTCTGATAGTTTAACCCCTTAGGAAAGGATTTGTTTGTATGTTTGTTAGGAGTCACGATAGCTCAGTCGATAGAGCAGTGGTCTCGTAATCCGGTGACATGGGTTCGAAATCAAGTCGATGCGCTAGTGCCCTTTGGTTAGGCATTAATCCTTATTACCAGGTCCCACAGAGAGGACCTAAGGTCATCGGTCTTTTGGTTGCTTACTAACAAGCATTTATTGCTTTCTTAGCTGTCAGGTAAAATAACCACCACTACTACTTGTATTTGGATGTAGAAATTGAGAGCACGAGAGAGACAGCATCAGTGAGCTCTGTCTCCAAGAGAGAAGATGGAGCTCAAGGAGACGATGAGAAGGAGGAGGAAGATGAAGAGGAGGTCGATGAGGGAGCTGCATACTGGGAATCACCTCATCACAAGTAAGATGTCACTCAACATTCAATATTCTTTAGTCATGTTATAAATATGCTCTGTGTGATATTCTCTATCTTATACTCAAGGAGATAATAAAGACCCACTGTTACTTGCTACTTGCTCCTTCTATATAGAAAACTTCCCCAATTGGTGCCTGTTGATCCCCCATGATCCTCTTTTTCTTATGTTAGTTGAGAGCTGAGTTAATGAGATAGCCACCTGTCAGTGACCTCTCTGTGTGGTCTAACCCCCTCTGGCCCAGTAGTATTGACGGTCTTTAATACTCGGCTTTTATATAGCGTGAATTACAATTAAGTCTATAAGCGCTTCCAAACTTGGAGATTATTACCCTTGCTATTTAGCTGTGCTGCCATTACTGCGCTATAGCATTTCAAGGAATGAATTCCTGCCAGGTACCAATTTAAAACTCCTGGGTTGAGTGTGGCAAATGTAGATCAATGTCTTGCCAAAGGACGTTTGTGCCGCGGTGCGACTCGAACCGCAGACCTTGTGATCGACAGTCCGGTGATGTAACCACTCAACCACTGCAATCTAAAGCCTTAAGTGTAGCTATGCCATTTATGTATTGTGCCACAGATTTGAACACAGCTAGTGTTTTATTTGTTGTCATTGAATGCATGGAATTCATTACTTTAGTCGTAATGGTTATAAATTTCATATCAGTGGTGGAAGACCTTATAAAAAATGAATATAGTGATACAAATCGTGTTGCTAAAACAAGACAAATGTCTGCTTGAACACATTTGTTCATTTGTTTATATTTTTTAAATGATGTTCACAAAATCATGGAGGAGTCATATCGCTTGTTCCAGAGCTCATATAAAATATGTGCCTCTATATTGTTGTTTGATGTTAGGTTTGAATACAATGATCATCGTGAAGCTATCAGTCGTGAGAATCCCATGTCGTATCACAATCTTGGTCTAGCTGTCTGCTCATCATTCATAGAACCAGGTAAGTGTATCACACATTGAGTTATTTAACCTAAAGCTCAGGGACTGGGTCTATAGATTCATCAGCTCTCCATTTGCTTGTGTGAAACACACATGATTTTTACCTCACCAAATCATCTATCTTATCTTGATAATATTCACAATAATGAGATGTACTGTAGATGTTCTTGTCTCATTTGATGGATGTTTACATGAATTCGTCCTTGTTTTCACGAAGTGACGGTAGTGAGGAAAATCGTAACGCAAAGTGAATGCAATTTTTTTTTCACTACCGTCACTTCGTGAAAACAGCGACGAATTTATGAATATTTCCACAGTGCTCTTATATCACTGCCTTAGTTTCGGTGCTACGCTTTGATATTCCCAATTGAACGGAAATGTGGTTTACTGTACTTAATGCCTATAGTTTAAAGCCCCACTGTCCTAGGTGTAGCTACTTGCTCCCTCAATATAGATAACTTCCCCAACCGGTGCCTTTTGGTCCTCCATGATCCTCTTTTACTTATGTTAGTTGAGAGCTGAGTTAATGAGATAGCCACCTGTCAGTGACCTCGCTGTGTGGTCTAATTCCTTCTGGCCCAGTAGTATTGAAGGTCTTTAATATGTACATTTCAGCATGTATGTTTTACACATGGTTTCATCAATACCAGTTGATTAGAGTTGTCTTATTTGTATAACACTTATCTTTTGTTTGACTGTAGCTCCTGAGATAGCCGCTGAGTTGCCATGGATACCAATCAAGAAAGGAGAGCAGATGTCTGATGTTCATGTAAGTGTCACATATATGTTACTTTCTGAAAACTTAACGCCTGTGTAATGCAATTGCAAAGAAATATTTTGAAATATATGTTTTGGTCTCATTAAACTAAAAGCAATGTACAGATACATTTCTAAACACCTTTCAATGTTTGATCTTCTAAATTTATATGTTTTTGTTTGCATTATGTATAATAATGGACTGCATGTGTATCAAAGGACACTAATGGAATTGATCACAAGGGAAAGACTAAGACAGAAACATTTTGAGTGCAGTTTTATTCATTTTCTGAGAGATTATTCTATGACTTAACCGAGACTGATCACATCTACTGTAGTATACTGGATGAGATATCTTTCTGATGGAAATCATCTTATGAGAATACATTTGAGTATTTTCGTTTTAGCACTTGTGAGCACATCTAATTGTATGTTGTTTGCTTTGCTTTAATTGTTGCCATTGCTGTTACAGTCAAACCTGTATATAGCGACCACCCAAGGGAATCACAAAAAGTGGTCGTTGTAGACATGTTCTTGTTTCAATGAGAAACCATTTTCAAGGGAAACAACAAATCTGGTCTTTGTAGACAGGTGGTCACTAAAGCAGGTTTTACTGTATTTGTCTTACAATATGAGTTGAGAGTTGAGAGTCTGAAAGGCAGTGTCATTGAATTTCTCAGGATTTATAATTCCCATGAAATAAAATATTAAAGATTATTTATGATGATTGAGCTTTTAGCTTCTATACTTTCCAAGTTATCAAGAGAATTGACCTCAATTGATGAACTCCAATTCTAATTGTCTTACTTTTATAAATTGAATTTGTTTTGAACACTTCTTTTCGTTAAGTCAAAAAACCCGTCATATACTATACTCCAAGAGTCCAATCCACCCTTTGCAGAGGACTAAATATAGTCTCTTATCCAAATTCACTGTGAAGACCAAACAGGGATTTAAAATGACTTTCAGGGTCAATAAGGGACAAGTTTGATGTACTAGGTAGTTGTTTGCAGACTTAAAGTAGCCTTGTAGCTATGACTTCTCAAAATATAAGTTTCAAGAAATATGTCCGGTATGTTTCTACAGTGACAGAAATAAGGAGTACTATTTTCTTACTTTGAACTACTTTCAATACCCCCACCCAATGACACTGCTAATCTAATCACTGTTTTTCTGATTGGAGAGCTTAAATGATATGTTTGTTGCTTTGCACCCCTAGATGGCCAAACTCCTGCCCCTGCGCCCTGTTACTGCTAAAGCTGAAGAACTTGTTAGTTTAATTCATACAAATTATGCATGCTTTATGTAAAACTAGCAATGCATGATTATAATAATTACATGTATTCGAGATTATAAAACTTGATATGGTGGTTGTTGGGCTAAATCTTTACTTTGTCAGATAGAATTGAAACTTTGCTTTCTAATATCATTTAATATTTCTCAGTTTTCATTTCTGTGAGTTGGTTATATGATAATGTTTTCCTCTTGTTAAGTTTATCTCAACTGTTGTATTACCTAATATGATTTTGTTGCCTCCCATCTCTTTAATTTTTCTCAATTTAATGATCGTTTCTGTTGTAATATATATTTTTCTACTAACTTTTTCTACTAACCTCAATAAATTTACCTTTCCCCTTTCTCGTAGCACAGGATTTTCAAGTAATCAATGTACGGGTCATAAATATGGTGTTGTAACAGTGGGATTCTGTACTTAATTAATGATATGTAATAATGAAACACTCTTTTGTTTATAATCTATTAACAAATCAAAAATGGTTGTGTGGTGAAATTGCTAAGTTAGGAAAGGTTGTCGAAACCCAAATACAGTTGACACTAATTGATATTTTAATTATTTATGTATGTTTTATATCAATGTGCTTCATAAATACATACAGTGTAATAGAGGACTATTTGATTTTTCATGATAGATTCACATTCTGGAAATACATTTTTTAAAGATAGATAAAAAGGGGACTCCAGTCTATGACCTTTGACCCAAATATAACATTATTTGACTCGGTGTGGTATCAGTCCTATATCATTTGACCAACAAATATCTGATGATGTATGAATTGATGTTATGGTTGAAAACACAGTGTTTTATTTTGCCCAAGTTTGATTGTGTTGTAGTAGTGTACTTAAAGTTTTTGTTTTGTTCTTTTAGAAGTAACAATGTAGTAAGCAGAAAACACAATGAATTCTTTGTTCCTTTTTCAGTAGTTTTTATCATGTTCTTACTCATGGCATGTGCGTGTTTTTCTTTTCCCATATTCTCTCTCTCTCTCTCTCTCTCTGTGCATGGCTTCCACCATTATTTCCTGCAGATCGAAGGAGTAAGTTTCAATGCCTTTTTTTCATTTTTCTTACTAAAGATGCAGGATTTTGTTAAAATAATTACTTAATTGTTGAGCAAAAAATACTTCTATAAATAAATTTTGATGCAATGTCAATCAAAGCTCGCTAGATTTTTGGTAAGTCCTCGATCCAGGGATTTTGATTTATTGTATAAGCAAGATGTTTAGGATGCTCATAACAAACTCTTGTCATACAGTGTAGTAAAAAAGTAGGATTCTATGATGATGATAATTCTTTCTAAGTATACTGTCATGTAGCTATGAACTGTTGATGTGTTTTTTAATCAATTACTTTTGTTTGGTATATTATTGTTTGTCATTGTTTGTTATAGCGCTTAGAGACTTCGGCGGAAAGCTTTTTATCAGCACCGTTTTATTATTATTATTATCATTTTCAAACAGAAACTATTTTTATGAAAGAGGGCCAATAACTCTAAAATAAAAGTAACATTTATGTTCAGCAAGTATATAAATTTAACTTTAAAAAACCCATAAACCTAGCATTGTACAATTGAACAAGTAAATAAAAAAACATATCACACAATAAAAACCTTACATGCATGTATAACTTCTGGTTTATGTTAAAATTTTTCCTTGTTATTCTTATTTCCATTTTAGTAATCGCAGATAAATTCAACATGTTATACAATATTAAGCCCATGTTTCTTTTTGTTTTATGATGATAATAGAAAGTAGCGTTAGATAAGATAGCAGAGAGGATTCATGACATCTGGGGTAAGATGGAAGATGCTGCAGACGGAGCTTACCTCAGCCATATTGACGGTAAGTAAGATAGGTTAATATACAAATGATACACAGCAGTGAGGTCATTAGTAAGAATTACCCAAACGAGGTACCTTTGGAACAGTCTAACTATCGCCTCGGGCATTTGAACTGTTTTGAAGGTACCAAGTATGGGTAATTTTATTAATGTCCAAACAAATTGATGTGTGTTATTTGTTTTATAAGATTTTAGTGTTTTCTTTGTTAAAAAAAATGATGTTTTATAACATAATTTTGATAATGACCGGTCATTATCCAACTTACGCGGTAGGCAAAATAAATGCCTGGTCACATGTATGCTTTCAACCATCCATCTGATTAGGATACACGTCATCATCTTATGATATTGATTTTTAAAGAAACAATGCATTAATTGAGCAGGTAACAGTCTCAATATTAAATACAGGTCCTGAAAATGTAGCTCAATTAACCTTTAATAAATCCTTATACTTGGAAATCAGGTATTATCTCTTGTAGAGTATTGACTGTAGGGGAAAGCATAATGAACATCACATGTTTGTCACATTATAAGTTGCTTAGTGGTGAAATATAAAGCCAGTGCAAAAGAGAATGTATGCATGAATACGTAGAGAGGTTTTAAAAATATACTAAAAATGCTAATAAGTCAAGAGAGGAAAGGGAGGTGGGGAGGATGATTGGTCATATCAAGTAACACTTTCTGGTCAATACAGTAATCATTGTTTTTACATTTCTTTCGGTATCACGTGTAGGTTCGGTTGGGTCTGCACGTTCATCGCCTATTCAAGTGAGTATCATGTCTTGTATTTATGCATGTCATTGTTACATGCTCTTGGGTTGAGAATGGCACCAATTATTTGAGAATGTATCCTGTTCTTTATAAGCCCAATGCAATTAGTAACTTTAAAACATGTTATAGTAATTCTTTGATAGCCCCAAATATCTTCAATAGAGAGACCCTGTCATAGATCATTAGACAGTGATATCTATGGTCAGAGCAACATGTAATATATGGCTTTTCCTAAAGATTCTGTAATTGAATTATTGATAGTGATTCTGTTTACTGATCCATTGATGATATCATTTCAGATGGAGTCTCGGAAGCCTCCTATTAAGGGAGACAAGACCCGCCCTCAGACTAAGATGTCCATGATCAGAGCTAGATCTGTTGCTAAGTCTATGACAGAGTTTGAAGAGCCTCTTCCGATGCCCTTTGCGAGTCCTCCTAGGACTGCTATCAGCTCCAGTGCTCCCATGCTGGTCTATCATCCTAAACCTGTCCCACCACCTGCTGTACTACCACTCACTAGGACAGTAAGTATGAACAGAGATGATTAGCAATTATTAGAAAGAAATATACATAGCAGGTTAACATGTATGATATAGATGTAGGGAAGCTCTAATACAAACAAAATAAAGACATTTAGAATGATAAGTTAATAGGGATGAAATAGACAATTGAGAGAGTTTGAACAATATTTAGATGAATATGGGGAGAGTGAGGCAGAAGAAGGGAGTAACAGAGAGAGAGAAAGACGGAGAAGAGTGAAAATAGGTAAAATTACAAAGGAAACATGTGAGATTACCCAGAAGATGCTGAAAAAGGGCAAAAGGAGAATGAACCCTTGTAGCCTAGCTATATGAGATTATTCTCAGATTTGCTTAGAATCTATCTTGTTTGATTAACATTGATCATGTTTCCACCTGTAGAATCATGAGAAGTTTTACCCTCGGATATCCAATGATTGGAATGGTGATGATCCTGATGGTAAAGAGAGATCGCTGAGAATCGTCAATCAGATGAACGTTGCCAAGGAAACCAACCTCCTCGTTTATAAGAGCAAGGAGAGTAAACGAAAGAAGAGTACTAAGAGTGCCCTTCAGAAGCAGGCAGGAGGGGCTCTAGTCATGTAAGCACAATCTTCATCTTACAATAGACTGCTTTGTCATTCATACATTCTCAAATACTCCCTAAATAACTAGGTAAATGTCAATTTTTTGTGGCAATTAGAACTACCTCTAAAAATATGTCGTCCCCTTTAAAATAAAAATTTCCAAGTGATCATAAACTTGTAGTTCACCAGGAGCTGAGTCCCTAACTTGAAATTTCATGAAAGGAGTACCATGAAATGAGTACAGTGTTCTGCATACATATGTGACATGACGTGACTGAAATGGTTTGAAGCATGATTTATTCCCAAAACATTTTAAATGATAGATTTAGTCTGCATTAGTTTGGGAGAGATATATCTAATTAATCTTGTTGTCCACCCTTTTTCCTCTGTAGGAGAAGATGGAGGAACGTCGCAGTGGCCAACGCCATGGCAACGGCTCAAATCTCTGCTTTTATGGGGTCAAGTAAGACTTTCTCATTCTTTTTGAACTTTCTCTCTCGATACCTCACTCTGGATGTTATCACCTTTGACGTGATGGATAACATGTATAGCTTTTGTCATATATAAATCCATAATGCAAGGAGTATAAGATTTCAAAAAGCCCATTTAATCTTATCTGCCTGGGTATATGAATGCAATTATGGGTTTTGATTGCAGATTTCCAAGACTCTCATTTCCTAGCCAAGTTGTTTTCCCTTGCCCTGCTTTTCTAATCTGAAGGAATTGATATGTTTCTATTTTTCTCAATATTTCTTCCTGTATATCATTCATTTCCTCTATATATTGTATTTCTTGGTAATAATAACATAATAATAATTAAGATTTATATAGCGCTGGTATACAAGTACAGTTTCTAAGCGCTTTACAAAACAAGTGAAATGAAAAGTACGGTTAAACTACCACCAACCCACTACTACTCACCCCACACATAGGTTTGCATGTAATATCTATATATGTTTTTGTATGTGTTATTGTTTAATTAAAACAAAACTATTGTATTTCAATATTGTAATTCTAAGCAGGGGATGATCCCCGATAAACCTCTGTGGTTTTTTATCACCCCCTCTGCAGGTTCATCTTTTGTTGTAATGCTTTTATATTTGATTGTAATTTATATTGTCTTTTATGAACCTGTGGAAATAAATGAAATTGAAATTGATATGCTGTACTAGTAATCAGTTTGAGGATGTTGGGAGGATCATTGTATTGAATGAGAAGGGAACTAGGATCAATGCACAATTGATTAGCCATATTTAACCCTTACACTGCCATTAACATTTCAAACATGTTTCACAATTTTGATTTCATGACATACAGTATGTTCTTTTTCAAGTTTTTTTTTGTCAATGTTCATTTTGAGAAAATTCAAAATTCATTAGCCCGTCTTGAAAACAAAAACAGAATTCTCTTAGTTTCGCTTAGTCCAAGAATATTGCATATATAAAGGATTTTGGCATTTAAAACTGCCTATGGCACAGCTGAGTTTTAATATGAATCTAATCTTATAATCATTCTCTTCCTCCCCCTCCCCCTTCTCTCTCTCTCTCTCTCTCGAAATCATTCTTTGCTCATGGGGAACATCTTAGACTTCTCAGGGCCTTGTTTCATTAAAGTTGTTGTTGATAACAAGTTCTAATAATAGATATAAACTAAATCATTGCATTTGATTGGCTGCTAGCATAATATGCCATACAGAATAGGGACCAGGGCCCTAGCTCTTACCTGAAGAGTTGCGTGTAAATGAGGCAACTCAGAAAATTGAACGCAAGTCTCAAATACATGATCCGTTTGGTTGAAAATGAAGTTGTATTTGATTTTCTGAGTTTAAGCTTGATGTTGGTATCATGTTGTCATCCACAGAGCATCAGGGATCTGGAAAGCTGCTAGAGAAAGACGAACCAAGGTGGAAGAGAGTAGAGGTAGGCCAGTACACTTATCTACATTTCAACAAGGAACTTTAGATTAAAGATAATGATGGTCATGAGATTGCATTGTGAAAGAAATGTTGTGGAATCGATCAGAAAAGGTTGATCATCTAGCATATAAGTATTAGTGTGTACTGCAAGGTTCTGGAATCATCAAAATGATAAGAAATTTGGCCCAGTCTTGGTAAAATTACAAGCACTGTACACAGAAAGATATATATGGGACTACGCACACGTGCGTGACATGTGCATTATATCCAACACGTCCAAATAGATATAATAATTTACCAAATATATCAATTAGTAGGCGGTTTCTCTGCAAAATATGTATGATCACGTATTAGTCAAAACATATTCTTTCACATGATTGGTAATAAGAGCTTCCATTTCATTTTTTTGAGAGGGGGGCGCTTCCAAAACTGGTCTTTACCTTTAAGGAATGTTGTTGAATTAGGAAGTTTACTCCATATAAGAAATATAGGAAGAGAGAAAGAAAGAGTTAACGAGAGAGTGAGACTGTGAATATTCTAGTTTTTCTTGTTTATTTGTAAGTGCCCAGGTGATGTAAATGGGTACCTGGCAGGAATTAATTCTTTGAAATGCTAGAGCGCCGTAATTGCAGCACAGCTAAAGCCGGGGTAGTAATCTTCAAGCTTGGAAGCGCTTAGTGATTGTAATAAGCGCTATAAAAACTGAGTATTATTATTATTATAAATACTAAACAAGCCTTCTAAGTCTCCAGTCTGTTCTAGTTTCAAACTGTTTTGTTAGAGGAGGTTTTTGAATGATGATTAATTCATTTCTCTCATTTCTTTGTTTCAGCATGTGCTTGGAATGCTAGCATCTGATCGTGTGGTAGAGAGACGAGATGCTGCTAGGGTGAGTCTAAGTTAAAGATTTTTTTTTTGCTGATCTCATCTTCATATTGTTTTGATCTGTCAGTTTCCTTCGAAGAATTTTTCCCTATTCTGTATTTTTATCTCTTTGGCCTCACCATTGCTTTTTTTTCTTTCCCACCCTTTCATTTTTTGTCCCTTGGTACAATTGCTTTTCGTTTTCTCCATGTCTCTTTCTATCCCACTTTCTCTTTATAAATTCCTTTCTTACTTTCTCTATTTATTTGTCTTTATCCTTTTCTTTGTGTTTCTGTTTTTTAGTTTGTCTTATTCTCTCCCCCCCCCCCCTCCAGTGTCTGATTTTGTCTTCCCTTTTTTCCCACTCTTATTTCTCTTTCTTTGTTTCTCTTTGTTTATTTCTCTTTATTTAGCTCCCTTTTAATTCTCTCTTTGTCTATCTCTATACCTTTCCTGTAATTCCTCTGTCAAACTCTACTCTCTATCTCTTCTTCTATGCTTTTCCTTGTCTCATCTTTCTGTTTGTCTCCAAGATATAATCCAGTAGCCTCACATATTTTTTTATTTGTATAACTCTAACAGCATCTTGGAGAGTTGGATGTTATAGAGGACTCAGTCATTGAAGCTCTTACTGACAGGGTAAGTCAAATCACTTTATCAAACTTCAAATGTGCTCATGAAGAAGATTATTTTATTTAAATTTAAGTGGAGGTAAATCAAGCAAATTACAAGAAGTGAAAGCGATTCTTATATTGTCAAAAATGTATGAGACATGTATACTATTTTTATTAGTCTGGATTTTTTTGTAAATATGAATTAAGCTTACTCTACATATCTTGAGCTCTGGTAATTATAATGCTTGTGAGTTTGTCTGAGTATTCATCATTCCTCCAGATCAATATGTAAATATTAGATCATCAAACTGTATGATTTATGGCAACCAGCCTATGAAATGCCTGATTTGCAGGTAGCATTCCATCAAGTAAATGGGTTGCTGATTCAGAATGTATAATTTCTTCATGTTTTCCCTCAGCTTGATCATGATGATGACGGTAGAGTGCGCTATGAAGCAGCTAGATCTCTGATGTCCATCGGCGAATGGACAGTCCCAGTGGTCAAGCTCATTGTCCAGTATCTAAAGGAAGGTAGTTATCAGGCCAAGAGAGATCTGGTGGAGAGTATGATCAAAGCCAGGGGTGCTGCCTTCATCAGTAAGGTGAGCCGGCCATTACAGCTAGTACAATCAATGCATTCATATAGTATTCTGACCAGTGGTCAAGCTCATTGTCCAGTATCTAAAGGAAGGTAGTTATCAGGCCAAGAGAGATCTGGTAGAGAGTATGATCAAAGCCAGGGGTGCAGCCTTCCTCAGTAAGGTGAGCCGGCCATTACAGCTAGTACAATCAATGCATTCATATCGTATTCTGACCAGTGGTCAAGCTCATTGTCCAGTATCTAAAGGACGGTAGTTATCAGGCCAAGAGAGATCTGGTTGAGAGTATGATCAAAGCCAGGGGTGCAGCCTTCCTCAGTAAGGTGAGCCGGCCATTACAGCTAGTACAATCAATGCATTCATATAGTATTCTTACCCATTTTGAATGGTTTCACACCTGTTACTATAGTGTTTGGATCATTTGTGATACATGCAGAGTAGCAGTACATCAGAAGAGAACCGGTAGCATTGTAGCAATTACACTACTGCAAAGACATAGTCATGCACAGATACAATTTATGAATTTGAATTGGTAACATAATATATAATTAAAAAATTTGGTTCTCTGTAGAAATTTAAAAAAATCCCAGGCTTAATAGAGAAACCATTCATTTCTTGTTATCAGTTAGTTAATGATTTTCATCAGTGTCACCACAGTGCTGAAGTGTGTCATTTGGTAATGTCAATAACTACCACTGCAGACACAAATACATAGATCATATCCTCTCTAGGATAAATATTTAGCCAAAGGTGACCTTCTGAAAGCTGCTTTCTTTGTTATCATCCTGGGTATAAATTCAAGGGTTTGTCATTTTGATTGTTATCACCTCTTCTCCACTGCAGACGGAGCCTCAGAATAGAGCGCTGGTTGAGACACTCAAGAAGATTTGTGGAGCGGAGAATCAAGGAGACCTTGGTTTTGATTGTGCTGTATGTCTAGGATGTTTGTGTGTACCTGACAAACAAGCTAAGATCAAACTCATGGGAAGTCTTGATAGTAAGGACATCAATGTTACTGCTAGGGTAAGCTCTCATCAAGACTTCCTCTTTCTCCAGTGTTAGCGTCATAATCATCATAATTGTAATCTTTGTTTCATTAAACTTAATTTCATGTTAAGTAGTTAACTACAGTCAAACGTTTATTAGTGGCCACCTCTCTATAAGGACCACCTGTCTATAGTGGCCATGAATATTATCTCCCATGAGAGAGATAAGTGTATTGTAAAACCTGTCTAGAAAGGCCACCTGTCTACAGTGGCCCCTTTTTCTGTTTCCCTTGGGCGGTCATTATAGACAGGTTTGACTATAATAAATATTTTTTGTTTTCCTAACGGGTTTTTATAACACTACAGTCTACTGGGGAAAATGAGTATGGTAAAACGGGTCACTCAAAGTTTTTTTTTTGAGGCACTTCATGATCATTTTGAAGTGCAACTTTGTTAGGGCTTAAATATTACACCATACCAAAGACACTGATAACACGTAGATAACGTAGGGCCATGCATCTAAGATTTAACATTGTTAAATGATGCCTTTAAGAGTATGAAATATGCAAATACTATTGTAACACGTTTCATTTTGATTCATCTCTATGGCTTATCAGTCTCTTGAGATCTTGGTACGTCAGATGCATGCCTCCGAGCCTGCTGTGGTCCAGATGGTCTTACATCAACTCCAGTATTCATCAGCATGGAAGTACAGAGCAGCCGCTGCAAAGCTTCTTGTTCATATCGGTAAGTCATGACATCATCATCATCATCATCATCAACTTCAGGTGGTGCTGTAAAGCGCTGCTGTGGTCTTCACAAGAGCATGTCATGCAACTCTTTTACCTGCCAATTGTGTTACACCTTACATTCCTTGTCCAGACAATTTCTTGATATCATCAGTCCAAGATATTGGTGGACGACCTCTACCCCGTTTTCCTTCGACTGCACCACATTTCAAAGGCATTAACTCTCTTTCTGTCATTCTAAGTCATGACAGTTGTATAGAAATGTTGCTATTTAATGTCACTAATTGTTATTAGAGTTGGTTTCAAAAATTGAATTTATATGCAGGTTACTTTTCGACCTATCTACCAATCCTTTCTCTTTCTCTATTCCCAAAAGTGCATAGGGACTATAGAGATATTTTTTTTCTTTTTTGACCATTCTTATAGTTTGCACTTTCTGTATTGTGTTAATTGAATTCATTGATATGTGTTTAACCTTTTCATATATACAAGTCACTACAGATTAAACTTGTAAACAATCACATATTGCTTACATGGCACAATGCCACCACTTCGGGTATGCTTTGTCACAAAGTCTGGTACATAGTAATGGTGATCTTTGAACAAATACCCTTTTTATTACTTGCCCCAATAAATGCTGATATCAAAGTGATCAAATTAATAAAGTAAGGTTATATTGAAGACCAAAAGAGCATTTGAAAGTTCCCTCAGTAAATTATGGTTGTACATATATTATTTTGAAGATTATTGTAAATCGTTTTGTGTATTTCAGGGTCTAAGTGCATGGCTAATGAAGATGATGAGAAGATGATATTCAGCATAGCAGACAAACGGCTCTATGATGATCCTAGTAGGGTAAGTAACTGACCAGTCAGGTCTTATCCATCTCCGTCAAACTTGATAATTCCATCTTTATGATTTAGTTCCTGATGAATTATGGCTCACAATAGATGGGAACTCTCAAAAGGGCAAAATATCTTCCCCTAGTTGCAAACCTTTACCATATGAAGAATTCAGAAAGATACACAGCATCTACTGTATAATTGTTAGGTTTCATAAATCACCTTTTGTTCAGGATATGGTATTGAGCCTCACATTATTGATTTTCTATACCATATCAATTACAGAAGTATGCAGTATAATAGACAAGAATGTTCTCTATATACCAAGCCATCCTCAATACTTTGGAATCAATAAACAAGCCAGGCATTACAAACATCAGTATACCCAGATAGATTCATGCATAGCTTGTGCCATGTCTAACTTGATTGACCTATTCTATTTTTGCAGGAGGTTCGAAGCGAGATCGCTAACATGATGACATCTCTAGGCCTGAAAGAGACGCTCTGTGAATTGGTAGAGAAGAGATTGTTTGATGAGGAAGATGATGAAAGAGCTCATGGTGTATTAGCTGTGGTAAGAAACGTTTATTGTGCTATGGAGTGAAATCATAGTTGTGGGTAGCAAGGTGACCAAGAAGCAAGTAGAGCAAAATAGTTCTTTAAAAAAAAATTAAGAAAAAGTAACCACAGTTTTGACTGTAACTTGCTTATGTGCTCTTCTAGCATTTCAGGAAAAAATTATCCACAATCTAGCCAGAGGAGGAAAAACAATTGGTGTATACTTAATATTGATTACCTTGTTAGTACACCAAACTGATTGTGATTACATTTCGATATACCTTCATCATAGAACTATTTCACCTGGGAGTATTATGTACTTTTAGTGCAGTGTGTGCAAAATTAGTTTCAATTTAGTTCAATTTATTAATCTTCTCAAGCATAAAAACAATATTATTATATATACAAAAATGGCAAATAAATATAGTAAGAGAAAAACAGAAACTACAAAAAAGTTTATAAAAACTTGTATGGATTAGTTCCCAGTTAAGGGAAAAGTAACATGGTATAAACAATAGCAATAACAAAATATACAAAAAAAACCATAGTGTGAATATTTATTACTCCTTTTCCTTTTGCTTTTCTTGCAGGGTGTTATAGGGATGAAATCAGAGCGCATCCAGCGTCAGCTCCTTGAGATGCTGGAGCTAGACTCGTGTGAATACGTGAGGATCCAGGTGATTAGGACTCTAGCTGACCTTGGTCTTACAAACATCAAGGTCATGAGAGCTCTCAAGAGTGTGGAGAGAAACGAGGGAGCACTGTCAAGGTCAGAATACAACATTAAACTTGCCCTTCTAAATATTCAGTCTGTGTACAACACTGTTCATGTGCACATGATGTACTGTGCACTTGACAATCTATATTGTATATATATAGAAAACTTTTTTTTTTTCCTTTAAAATTTCTTAATGTATTAGAAAACTGTAATGCATATGTGCAGGTTCTTGTATATTGGAGAGAATTAGAATTTTGAGCGAAGTAGCAACACCAAAAATGGTTGAATATCATGTCCTTTTAATGACATGTGAAACTAAATAGGAATTACCTCCATTAAACAGGTTTCTTTATTTCAAGAAAACATATTAATGAAAAGTTATGCATAGGGATTGATGCTCATGCTTTTGTGTGAGTTATGTTATTTCTTCCAAACTTGTTTGTATGTCAAGTGTGATGTAACTCACCGAGATATGTTTTTTCCCAAACAGAGAATCAACGAAAGCCCTGAAGACCTTGAATGCCATTAAGCAAAGGCTTTCCGCCAGAAGCCCTCGTAGGACTCCATCACGTTCACCATCCATTCCAGCTAGCTCAGTGGTGACAGCAGTGAGTAGGAAGAGATCAAACACTCCTCTCCTCAAGAAGGTGGTGGTGAGAAGGAATTCTAAATCTGTCAATCAATCTATCTGAAGTAAGGATTTATGTTGTGTGAAGTCCAAGGCATGGCATGGGTGTCTCTTGGTAAGATACCATTCTTTATAAGATGATGACGTGGATCCTAATCAAATGACTGGTATACACGTGACCAGGCATTTAATTTGGATAATGACCGGTCATTATCGAATTCTAATGACCGGTCATTAGTAAAATCATGTTATAAAACATCATGTTATTAAAAAAATAAAATGTAATCTTATAAAACAAATAATACACATCATTTTGTTCAGGCATTCATAAAATTACCCACACTTGGTACCTTCAAAACAGTCCAATGGCTCTCCATGCAGATAAAGTAATGGCCCTGATAGAAGGGAATTTCTTGAATGCTTGAGTGACCTATAAGGTAGCAATGCTGGGGTAACAATGTCAGTGCTCTCTATACTGGCGGGAAAGAAGCGCTTATTTAGTCCCACTATGATATCCCTATTATATTCATACTATTGTTTCAATGAGGTACATGTATGCTTTATATTGTTTGGGAAAATATTTAGGATTTCTTGTGGAGTAGAGATCTGAAAGTGGAAAGGGGTAGATATAATTGTAGAGCGCCATCTATATATCTAGAAAGTCTATTTCAAGGTGTTTGCCAATATTATCCTGGCTTTTGTTTAGCTTTTGTGCCTGCATATTAGCGTATTTAGCATTTTGTGAATTTCTTACCTGGCATTCATTTATGACACCTGGGTTGATGGAGACTAATCTAGGTGAAATGCCTTCATAGCATACAAACATGTATGTAGGTAATAGGCTAGGGTTTAGTTCTGCATTCTTTTGATTTGATTTATAGTGGAGTAATTAAAACCACTTTATAATCCCACTGTAATTGGAGTAAATGTGGTATTGGAGAGTAAATTGCAGTGGATGGGGTGGGGGTAATAATCATTGGGATAGCAGATTACATTACATTCATCATTATTGTAATACTTTGTATATTGAACACATAAAATAGTGATTGAATAAGTGCTAAAACCCTTAACCCTATGTGTGTGATTACTACTTAAATGTGGCTTGGATAGACTCTCTAGGGTTCAGTTGTACTTCCAAATAATATCCAACAATGCATGGTTTATGAATTATGTCATGGTCTTGACCCTTACGCCCTGGACCAAACTAGTATTAGGTCTTTCACTTATCTTGATATTGCTTTTTATTGCTGATTTGCAGTGATCTTTTTTATTTTTTGCCGACTGCAGATTCTTCAAAAGAGAAGATATTTTTTTTCTTTATTTGTGAAGTTTGTATCATATGAGGCTGCTTTATTTTCAACTCTAAAGGAGTGATCTTTCTATTTTCAATTCATCTTGTTCTTTAATACTTCACATTTTACACCATTACTTACAAAACAAAAGAGATATATTGATTGAATCAGTGGTAAGTTGTATACATACATAAAATACTTTTTTATTCCCCCCTCTTTTTTTGGACGTCCGAGATTGGAGCAATTTGGTAGTAGCTATTGTTGGTTCTAAGGTAATTTTAACCTTAGCACACTATCAACAGTCAGGTATTGATATACCCCCATCCTAATAAAAAGAATAATGCCCATGAACTTGATCAATTCAATTTCACGCTCTTGATTGTCAAGAAAAAAAAAAGGAAAATAATCATTCTTTTAAGGTTAGATTGATGACCTATGAAGTTATTATTTAAGACAATCCACATCATCTGTGTCCTTTGTCTTGAACATGGAGATGATGTGAATAGCATTCAAGTTCTGTGTGAACGTCAGGATAAGTAAATGAAATCAGAATTTGGTACTTATTACCTTCTAGCTCTTAAATTGGTTGTCTTCATGCGTTTTTTACCAAGGTTACACAAACAGACTCATTCATGTATTTTGATAAACTTGGCCATATGGTGTGTAGAAGATAAATGGAAAAGATGAGGCATGAAAGAAAAAAAAGAGAATATCAGAGGAGGAGTAATACAAAATATAAATTGTCACTAATTTAATAGATAAAGGTAGAGTACAAGAAAGTGTACTTAAAGTTTATATTTGCAGATTTTCTCCTTACCTTTCATATATGAAAGTGTGTAGGGATCATCCTTAGTAGTGCGTGGTCATTAGTATAAACCATGAATATGGCATTGGCATGCACAGATCTTGGGGTTAAAAAATAGAATGCAATTATCCCAACGGAAACCAACCCTCATACCATATGGTGCGTACCTCCGCCCACTCAAGCACGCCCCCGTAGACTTGAGCGACGAGAAGTGCCGGTACATAATACCAACTTGAAATTTGATAAGCAATTAGGCTGCATGTATCCGTTGCAATAGTGCCTGGTGTGTATTCCTGATTAGTTGTAGATGGGCTGTATAGAGGTAAGACTGGCTGTGTAAACCTTATACAGTGATGATAGATGGATGGCTGATTTGGACCATTGTATCACTTAGATTGCTTCTAGCCAATATCCTTATTGCATTTTATATTGGTTAATTGGTATGTCAATCAAACCTGTATTTAAAGGGAACCCACTGTAAAATATGAAACCAGGTTGTCTCGAGGGGTTTGGATTTATTTAGGGAGACAAATTAACCTGTGAATGAATAGTGAAATTATGGTGATGATGTTATAGTCTACAGTTTGGGCATGATAATCACTATGTTTTGATGCATGAGAAGCTATGGGGTCAATGAATGAAGACAGTTGATTATGTACAAGTGGCTTCAATAAAGGGCTTGATTTTATAATAAAATCCTTGGACAAGAATAAGTATAATTGTTGTCCCCTCTGACAGTCTAACCTGTAACCACAAGTGTACAATGCACAGATCCAAATACACAATAGTTTTGCCCATTGTTATGCTGAGTTTGAGTGAAATTCATTCAAAATTCTTTTTATTTGCATTTTCTCTTAGCGTCACTTTACCCTATTTGATTCAGTGTTCCATGAAGCAAACATTCTCTATCAAGGTTTAGTATAGCTATTAAGATTGTGTAATTAGCTTTAAGTGGGTTATTTGAAAGATATCTTTCAGCAATGAAAGCTGCATTGATTGAAATCAAATATACCTGTAATAAAATATGAGATTTGATTGATGACTTCCCATCCTAATAGAAATCCAATGAAGACAGTGTCATCAATCATTTCCAAAGGGGTATGCACTTAGTCATATAAAGCCTGTCCAATATTCAGTCAGCTTATATATGCTTGGATAATGAAGGAATTATTATTGTGGGGAAAAAATAGCAAGAGATGAGATTGTTTTGACAATTTGGGGTATGGTAGAAAAATAGTGTGCCTGTAAGTGGATGGAGATTTTTCCAGACAAGCATAAACCACAATTTATATTGTGGTAGAAGAGAGAAGCGAGAAAAAGACAAGTATCGTTCCAAACAGGTGGATACGTTGTATTCTAGCTTCAACAAAAGTGTAATCATTGAGAACCAATTGGAGGTCAGTCAAAACCTTTGAAGAAAAGACACAATAATTTGAAAAGATGGAATTATGCTAAATTACTGGCTTTCAGATCAAATGATGGATTATATGCAAAGCAAACGACCTTCAAAATATATCTATATTCCAATATATGATAAGTTCACTGGAGTGTGTAATTAGAATAGAGTGAGCTGCAGACAGCCTGTCTATGCATGATTGCATGTGTAGAAATGAGACCTGTCAGTCATTAGGATTGAGTCATCAGTATTGATTCGTAGGGATGACATGCACTTTGGTTTCAGTTTGGGAAGTGATGTGAGAGAAATTAGGTTAATGAAGAACAAGTATTGTGTAAAAACAGGTTAATTGTATTTGTAATGGGTTAAGACTAGATTAAATCATAATTGGCCATTCATGAACATCATTGAAATGGAGTAGATTTACTTGATATTCAGTTCTCACTGTGTATTTTTTTTAATGTTAAATAGCAGAAATAATATCACAATCTGGTCTAAAACAAAAATATGGATATATTGTTTTGTTGAGCTTGTACAGTGTTGATATTTCAGATATATTCAGTTTTGTTGGCCATGGTATTGATTGGAGCAATATTTTGATCAGTTTTCTTCCATTTCAAGCTTGATAAGTGAGTCCCATCAGCTTTGCATAATAACGGTTAAACCTGTGAAAGTCTTAGATAAGTTGAGCTTGACAAAGGTGCTTGGTATACCAAAGCCATATCATATCCATCATGTCAATAGCAATAATTATATTCAATATTTGTATAGTGTATATCACTTTGGTGTTTATATTTTCCTATATGGAAGAGGCTTTTAGAGGCTGTAAATAATGACATTCGAGTTGCATCAGACTTTAATACCTAGTTGTATTATAAGGTATAGAAATTGAGAAATGTATGTGAAATGGTGTACTCTATTGTATAGTATACCCATTTGTCTTTCAACAAAATATTTTTCATCATTGACACTGTTTTTATCTAACAACTTTTATGTATTTTATGTATAAGAGGTTTTCTTGTACACAATGTGAGGTTTGTATTTGACATTGTGCTGTGAGGTTTGGATACTAAATGCATTAAATTAAATGTTCATATGCTGTAATGTTGCTGGTATTAAGCATTGTTTTCATGATTCTTTGTATCAATGGTAGAGAGACTTTGTAATGTAATATCTATGCAGTATAATTTGATTTCTAACAGGGATGATGAAAAGGCTGATAGAGTGAGTGAGAGAGAGAGAGAGAGAGAGAGAGAGAGAGAGATGAAGAGCAAGAGAGAGAGAGAGATGAAGAGCAAGAGAGAGAGAGAGAGAGAGGGAGAGCAAGGGAGAGAGAGAGAGAGAGAGAAAGAAGAGAGAGAGGGGGAAAGAGAGAGAAGAGAGAGAAAGAGAGGAAGAGCAAGAGAGAGAGAGAGAGAAGAGAGAGAGGGGAAAGAGAGAGAAGAGAGAGAGAGAAAGAGCAAGAGAGAGAGAGAAGAGAGAGAGGGGAAAGAGAGAGAAGAGAGAGAGAGAGGGGAAAGAGCGAGAAGAGAGAGAGAGAGAGAGAAAGGGGGAAGAGAGAGAGAGAGAGAGAGAGAGAGGGGGGAAAGAGCGAGAAGAGAGAGAGAGAGAGAGAGAAAGGGGAAAGAGAGAGAAGAGAGAGAGAGAGGGGGGAAAGAGCGAGAAGAGAGAGAGAGAGAGAAAGGAGAAAGAGAGAGAGAGAGAGAGAGAGAGAGAGAGAGAGAGAGAGAGAGAGATAAAGAAAGATAGGGAGAGAGGGGTGAGGGGGATTAGGAGGAGGAATTCAAAACAGATATCAGACTCATGTACATTAATTTGAACCTCATAACGTTCAAAGGCTTAGAACCAAGGACATTTTCTTATTTCAAAATCATGTCACATGAATGCTGAAAATTAAAAAAAGGATAAAAACGTTTAAAAAAACACAAACATTAAAAAATTACCGTATTGTAAGGAGAGGTTCTCTCTCTCTCTCTCTCTCTCTCTCTCTCTCTCTCTCTTTCGCTCTCTCTCTCTCTCTCTCTCTCTCTCCCTCCCTCTCTCTCTCTCTCTCCTCTCTCTTGCCCTCTCTCCCCCACTCCCTCATTCTCTCTCTTTCCCTCTTTCTTTCTCTCTAATCTGTGTTTTTATATTGCACATCATGTGCACAAGACTATTATCACATCTAAGTATTGTTATATTTGCTTTTCAATCCTTTTAGATTTCATTATACGATCAGTCTTACATCACTCAAACACTGAAAACATATTAACCATTCGCTATTACACAAGTTTTAGACTGTAAGCTCTTAGATTTATTTGCTCAAATATACCAAACTATAATCATATTTCATATTTTCTTTACAATGATTTCTGTTCCAGACAGATAAAACAATAACGATATCCTTATACAAAGAAAGACAGTCTTAATACACTTGATTTCCCCCAAAATTCAAAATGTATGATCAGAGTGTACATACCCGTAATACTCTACTTATTTTCATGTCTACATCAGGCTTTTAGCCATTTTGAAGGCGTGATTTCATATATTTAAAGCGATCATACAAACCGATTATAACAAGTAATTTTAAGAATTAGCTCAATGTTAAGACGCTGTCTTGATAGGTTACACTCTATCAACCAAATAATAAATGAAAGTGAATCTTTATTTCTTCTCCATGTTTATAAGTATTTGGATGAAAAGTATCCCTTTATATTAACACATGCTAACTACAGAGATATCCCCCCCCCCCCCAATACATTTTTTTTTTATTGAATCGTATCATTAGAAGTTTAGACAACATAGACACGGTCGATCTTTCTTCTTTCTTTTATCACAAAACAATGCGATTAATCAAACAATTGAGTTATATACTATAGCATTATATATACACGAGATTTACATTTGTACATTCGTAGGTCTCAAACCTTAAACTTCACAAATAGTATCTCTGTATTGAAAGAGTGCTGACAGCCAATAAATGAAAACTGACTATTTGTAAATCTTGGTTCTACTTCGTATTCATTCGAAAAGGAGAAACATTAATGGTCATGATTACGGCTATTCTCACTTCAAAAGAAAAATAAAACCTCTCAAAAGAGGTTCACATGGTCATCATCACCCTTATTCCAATCAATTTCTCTTGACATTATACAATGTTATATTACACTCAAAGAATTACAAGGTCTTACATAATTATAATAAACTTGTCCGTTGCACAAGCACCATTTCAATCAAATAAGTCTGACATATTTCGTTCACTGTACAAAAATAGAACTTTTCATAAACTTTCCTCTTCCTTCCTTCAAAACCTTCGTATCATAAAAAGACCTTCAGCTGCGTATAATTCAAACGAAGAACAAACACCAACAAACTCACAATTCAGTTTGTTTTTCATTTCTGTTAACAAGCCAATGAGTTATTGATGTTTAACCCCAATAGTTAAAAGTTACAAGCATTTCGATTGAAAACAAGAGTCAGATTTATTTTTTAGACCCGATATTAAAATGTACAACCAATCGCAATAACAATCCAATGTGATTTGATGTAATCATTTTTGAGTAGTTATTATCATCACTTTTTCAAAGACAGTTTTGATAACATTCATACACAATATTGAAAAATACTGAAGAACCCTTCATCTACAGGTTATTCTAATTAAGACACGTAATAATATAAAAAAATATCATAGGCAATTTTTGTCTTTTGTTGTTGTTGCTATTTTCAAATATATTTTGTACATTATTTTCGACGCTTTACAGTAATTTACTTTTTCAACATTAAAATAACAAATAATTACACATATTCATGAAACACAATTAAAAAAACGAAAACATCGTGATTTTTTTTTCGCATCTCACAACAATATGCAAATTATTATGCTACACATCAACAGTACTGATCTAGGTTATATTTGCTTAAATGCTAATATCTGTTTCAAAGTAATCAATCAATAAATCCATTTCATTTGTACGTACTATATACAGTCAATAATTCTCCTGTAAAAGTGCCGAAAACAATATTGCCCAAATTGTAAACAATGTGTTATGAATTGCATTTTAACAACATCAAGCTTAGAAAATTGAAAAAATATATATATATCCTTTTCATACTTCCTGCCGAAAATATCACTTTCCATACAACACTGTTAAATTGCCACCAATACTTTCGATAATTGCTTGAAATATACAGTCAGTTTCTTCTCAAAAGTGACCCGTAAAAAGCATTCCATATACATTCTTCTTTGGTTACCTTCAAATCAACCCTCTGTGAAGCATTCATCCAAATAGATACAGAAAAACAGTCATGTGAATATTCATAGATTTTCTAATGCTTCCTCGTTTTTGTCAAGGCTATTCACTGATGAGTTAAAGAATAAGAACAGAATCTGGTCTATTCACACACACTACATAACACTCTACACTATTTTCAAGCAAAAACTGATCGAGAATTTACACATTATTTTCCAGTAAGTTGTGCTGCAGAGATTTTGAAGAAGACCTATTGAACCTCCATTGCATCACAAACTATTATTCAAAATATATTGGATGAACATTTGGCAGGCGAAATACCTGGGAAATACCACACCTTAGTTTTTAGATCAATACAGTGTTGAAAATATACAACAATCGTTTCCATCTCCAGCTCTAGAAGAGTTTTTTTTTTCTCCAAACAGTCATGTCACAGAATCACAAATCTGCAAACTCACAGTTTCTTGTAATTGTCGGTGTGCTAGAAACATAGCTTTTTTTTAACGATATATTTGCATTATTTTTTTCTATTCTATTGCGCTATGAAAGCCTTCAGGGGAGTGTTTCACAAAGACTAAGATTGACTTTAAGTTGGACTATGGCAGGCTGCTCATGCCACTGGTTGCTCTCACCATTATGATATTTCTGACAATTTTTTCTTCTTTCAATAATGAATTATCAAAAAATGTAAATTCTGTATATTTTTTTTACCATGATTTGTACATCCCTTGAGAGATCAATGCCAGTAAATGATGAGAGCAAACAGTGGCATGAGCGGTCTGCCATCGTCAAGTCCAACTTTAAGTCGCTCTCAGTCTTTGTGAAACACCCCTGGTTTCATTTAAGTTGTTCCTACAAGCAATAAAAACGTCATTTGGTAACCCATTTGGCCATAAGATTCAATCTAGGTGTGCTAGAGGAATGCCTATCACCTATCAATGTTGGAATGTACGAAGGAACTGATGAGAGGTGAATCGTCATCATCATCTAACAAATACAATACCAGGTGTTTAGAATGGAATGAAAGGTACAATAATAAGGGAGCGTTTCCATTCTGTAACTTCAAACAGTTCTTGTTTCAATGGACAATCTTTGGTAATGGTACATAGACAGGTCCCGAAATATCGTTAGGAGTGCACGTTCATATCCAGAACGAACTCACTATTGTTGTTTGAATCCACAAAACCTTCATCGATGAATTCAGTCTTTATTTCAAAGGAACTCATTTCAGAATCATCAGAACCTTCAACAATAGAGTTTTTGAGACACATTTCCCCCGCCATGTCTTCCCATCTGCTAGTGCCCTGATTCGTGTAGGCGGTCATTGTGACGTCATCTTGCGAGATTGTTGAATGGGGTTGGTCTGAATCGGAGAGTTGGTTGGAGTAAGCATCAGAGCCTTGGTCCATCGCCTCCGTTGACGATGAAGCGTATGGTGAAAGCAAGGTCGTATTTGCCTCATCCGCTACCTCTACAGCCTTCGGGCCATTGACATTCGTGCTGTTGTAAAGCGTGGTCATTGACGTCATCATCTGTCCAATGTCCACACTATTAGTTGTCGCCTCAAGCGATTCTCGATCGTCATCAACTCCTTCGCAATACACCTCACCATCCGCCGCGCACATTTCAAGCTGTTGCACCTCACCATCCATCAAAACCTCTTCCTTTTCCATTTCCTCTTCCTCCTCTTCCTCCTCTTCCTCCTCTTCCTCCTCTTCCTCCTCTTCCTCCTTTCCTTCCCTTTCTTCGCTTACCTTACAGCTTGGCGTTGTCGAATTCAATGACGTCGATATCGTGTGATCAAAAAGTTTGGGCTTATCGTCTGCCGGAGTATCCGTTTCCATGTTTGTGCGCGGATTCTTTTCAATCTTGGTCGCCGAATCGATGTTATCATACCTCCAGCTCAATTTGAACTTGATCCGACGAAGGCAATCCAACTCGGGCTTGTATGCCGGCTCTTCGTTTGTCGGGGTCTTCCGTTCTTTTTGTTGACAAACGTCTTCGCATGTCAAATTTCTTGTCAAGTGCTCTTGGGTGCTCTCCTGACATTTCTCGACAATTTGAGGTGAGGCAGAGTTATTCTTATCGGGCGTGAAATGAGTTGATGGTCGGTGATGCGGACTCGGTGGCTGCGAAACGTGACCAACTCGTGGTGTTTTGCTAGTTGAGCTTGGGCGGTGCGTTTTAATGCGACGGGGAGTTTTGGTGTTGGAGGAGGGTACTAAAATAAGCTTTGGGAGGCGATGATGATGGTGGTGGCGGTGGCTGTGGTGATTGGTTGGACGCGACTCTTCGCCTTGTAATAATCTGTATGCAGATGCTTTCTCATTATTAGCCGTCTGTTCGTGTCCCTGTATTTCAGAAAAGGGAGAAGAAGATATAATAAAGATAACATTAGTTTATTCAATACTCTAAACAAAATCCACATGAATGCAGGAAAATTTCAAAGCAAAATAGGTTAACATCTTATCATGACAACAAGCAGAGTTATGACAAATATAATCCGGAAATAGGTGTATTTGAAAATTAAATATGTGATGAAAAATAATTACATGTATTACAAATTATCACATTATTTAATGTTCTTTGTAAACCTTGTCTGAGCCTTTATTTTACATGTGAGAAAAACAAATGTGCACGTTGAATGAATTTGGACAAATAAATACGTTGAATTGACATGCATCGAAAATGTTAACATAACAGTTTACATGGATGAAACCCTGCTAGTACGCTGTCTTCTATTTTTCAGAAAGCTCTGTTTTTCTACAAAGAAATATATTAATTTTACCCCCAAAAACATACAATGGCTTTTAAAAAGGCATGGAGTAACATTGTTTTCTTGAACTAAAAAACTCGTAGGGGAAATCCCTTTACCGCCCCGACCCTCTCAGTTAGGATTCAGTACCATTTTAATGATGATTATCAATCGCCAGCAAAAGATCACCATTAGACGATTACGCAGCTTCTCGTTTGCACTAATGGTGAACATGTAACTCTTACTGGTTTTCTTCTTTTTAGACATGATCTATCATTTGATGGGATGACTAGTAGTTTGGTCATACTTCTATCACATTACATCCTAGCTAGTATTATTCGAGATGGGCCGGTATAGAGAGAAAAAATAAGCATTAATCGACAACTTCAGCTCAGTCGCGCCTGCCGTCATTAACCCGCCCACGCACCGAGTGAAAATGTAGAGGTAAAATTGGCGGGGGTGGGGGGGGGGGGGGGAGGGGGTAGGTTTGCTGAATATAAACATAGGAAATTAACATTTTCCGTTCACAATCGAAGCCTTTTTTTTTTGGTATGAGGTCAGGTACATTCATTTTCCTACGGACTACAACCGCTGATAACTATGCAATAAAATGCTACATGGTTGTGATCCATAACACGCTTGTATATCTCACGTAACATGAGATTGTAGTACCCATGCCCTTAATGCAGACAATCTGGGTTACACGCAGCATATGTTTTCACCATTCGGTTCCATTGACGCAAGCCATCGGGCCAAGGGATGAGCAATAATAGGCCGCGTTCACAATCACACACCAAGCACTCTAAATGCGATCGCTTTAGGAAGGCAACCCACTCATCAAACCATGCACCTGCGATAGCAACCGTACACTGCTGGACACGTCTGACCTAAAGCATCCACCAGTGTGTTTATATGGAGCATGGACGATTCAATTTGGAGAGTGTAGGCGTTCAATTTAAGCAGCTCGATCGCTGCCTATTTTCAGAGCTTTTTATGCTTCGATCTTTCGTCGTAAAATCAAAAAGGGTCGAAATGTCGAATCAAATATCAGTAAATAAGTGTCACCGATGGAGTGAATTCCTCCTAATATTTGGTTGTCATGGTATTATCCATCATTGAAAGAGTAATTATCTCAGAGATAAACAATGACAATCAGTTTTCAATAATAGCATCACGTGCTGACAAAAATAGCGAATCCATGATTTTTTGACGGGGACTGTTTATCTAAAATATCTTGCAATTAAACGAAGAAGAGAAGAAAAAAGTTTCATCTTTTTCAAATAATCATAATGATTTCTCTTTTGGCGGATTGGGGGGGGGGCACATATAGGTTGTGGAGGAATTCCTTTGTTACGTAATAGCAGTTTGTTAAGGGGTGACAAATGTATCCAGTGCCTCTGAGATCCATTAATGGAGATAACACAGACCAACTTCGGGATTACAATGCTCTTAACTTGAATGAATGATAACACATTTGTATTTCTACCTCGTCACCACGATTTGATATTATTAGGCACACAAACTTCATCATGATCATGAATATACATGATTATATCCTTCACAATATCAGGCTTTAATATTCGTATAAGTAGATGAAATATTCACTGCCACAGGATGGAAAACAAAGAAATACAAAATTAAGTAATTTGATTGGCATCTCAATTGATTCCGCAGTTAACTGCTCTTAATTTGTTTTGTACAAATTACTGTCCGATGGACTTCTATATTTATTCCCCTGACACAGTATTGCTCTTAGATTATGGCAATGGACAATTTTTTTTTTTTTTTTAATCGCCTGATTTTTTAGGTTTAGGAACCGGGTGCATGTTCATGTATATGTCTATATTTGGTTCTATTAATTCATAGAAGCACAATTGAATTCCTCAATGATTACTGTTTTGACTTTCAAAGAATGGTGATATTAAGCAGTCTGATGGATTTGGCGCCTTATAAATCTTATGTATTATTATTATTATTAATAAAAAGGTCTCCTCTTTAGGATGACAAACACAAAACAACCCTATTATGCACATGCTCAGTTTTTGACCTTTTACTGTCATGTTAAGGCCTTTGACAATTCTATAAAAATCTTAAGTAATACCAAGTGTATCCCCTAACCTCAACCAAGTTTTATCAGTCGTTAAACAGCTAAAGTGCTATGTAATTCTGTTCCTCCCCGCCCATGTGGAATTGTACGCACTTGAGTGGAGAGTAAAATGCCAGGCTAAGTGGTAAGAAAGCCTTCTGTCTAGCATGCATTCGATGCGTGTTGCTTACAGGGCTGATCGCAAGCCTTGCTACCAGGTCAGATTGGGCAACAAGCCAACTTCAAAATCCACACTTCCCCCAGCATACATCGCATGTAGGCAATGGCAAAGCTAGCTGTAAACAGGGTTATAATTAAACCAAGTATATTTACTCTGGTACATACTTTCCTTATCACAATATTTGATACAATCTATATTTCGTCTGCTAAAATATATCCGTCTCAGATTGTATCCAATTATTAAAAATGCGCTTGAAAATAACTTCTTTGAAATGTAAAAGAAAAAACTCACTTAACCAGGCCTATATCATTTAAAGATTTGGCGCCTTGCTAGGGCGCCGTTATTAGTGTGTATAAAAATAGCAGCGCATCCAGCGTGCGTGTGCGGATCTGTGGTTAGCTGTTATCAGCTCCATCTCAACTGTTTGATGCATATCAAGGGACCTTTAGAAAGGATTCGTTTGTTTGTTTGTATTTTTGCTTACTAATTTGTATTTTTTTAATATTTAGAATATGCCTAACCATAGCCCATTGCTTTATGATGGTTATATTACTCTTTGGAGGTCATTATAGATTCATAATTATGTATTGAGTAAAATCATGCACAATATAATTTCCAGGTATGAACATTATCACATTATCACAGTCGCAAACACTTTCAATAACTCAACTCAAAGGCAAGTGCAATACCCTCTTGTATAGCCCCTAGAAATCAGGTTCACAATACGTAATGCATCACGATTATTGATCGGACACTTCAAAAACCGACGCAGAAGGCTATTAATTATGTGTTTTTTTTAAGTTAGTGGTGGTGGTGGTGGTGGTGGTGGTGGTAATGGTGGTAATGGTGGTAATGGTGGTGGTAATGGAGATGGTGGTGGTGGTGGTGGTGGTGGTGGTGGTGGTAATGGTGGTGGTAATGGAGATGGTGGTGGTGGTGGTGGTGGTGGTAATGGAGGTGGTGGTGGTGGTGGTGGTGGTGATGGTGGTGGTGGTGATCTTCTAAAAATCTTTACTGCAGTCTTGCAAGCGATCCAAGGGAGTAAAATAAGCCTAGATACTTTTGCATGAGCTATGAAATGTGCATGGTGGCAAAAGAGAACTTAAATGAATTGGCTAGCAAACATTAAACTAACCTCCATGCACATGGATAGGTGCAGGACAGTCCATCATGCGGCGTTTATACGCAATATGGCATGCACATGAACATGACGAATGTATCATCTGCATTCATCACTGTGATGAAAAGTACTTGTGTGAAATTTGTCAGAGTCGTTGTTTCTTCCAAACCAAGCAAATTAGGGTAATTGCAAAAAACATGGAGACACAGCCATCCAATTTGTGCTTAATCGTGGCGTAGCGCCTATTTATAATTCTACTTGTCAGTCTGTGTCTGGCATTCATGCATCTACCCGAGACCATCGACCTAAATAGAGCGACAAATCCATCTATAATTATGCAGCAGCGTTCCTTATTAACATTGTGCTGAGCAGTAGCCATTCATTCAGAGGGTTCATGGTAACATTGTGAGTACATCCAAAAGTTCTTTTTGTAACAGCCGAGTAGGAACGGTACAACCTTTGATATTTAAGGGCATACAATAGCCGTGTGCCCTCACAAGGTCATGAAATATTGAAAAGTATTTTTTCTTTAGTCTTATCTCTCTTGAGCCCCTCCACCCCCTATTAAGCATTAAAGGTAATACAAAGTCTTGGTATAGGTTCATGAATTTGGTTCAAATGAACATATTGGAAGCATATGCGATCCTACAATATTTAGTGATCGTTGTGGCGGTTAAAATCGAGTCTAAAGTTATGAAATTGTAAATAATAGACTCTTTATGTTGTAAAGCTCCCTCTCAAGGTCAAGATATTAATTAGGCTATAAAATAATGTTTCTTGATTTAAATCGACCAATTAGCTATTACCGTTTGGAAATTATATATAACAACTACATATCTGAAATTGTCAGGGTCGGAGCTACCATTGTACGGCCGTAGGCGCTATTTGAAATGTATCAAAATTTACCGGTGCTCCCGGTAAATTTTTATACTCAATTTTTCTTGAAAGCAGAAGTGTTTTAAGGGCTAAATTTTTTAGTGCTTATAATACATCCACAGGGGCATCCAAATATATCAAAATTGTAAAGATTCAGTATCCACCCGATTTTCAAAATTTCCCAAAACTTTGTATTACCTTTAAGAATAGACCATCATCGAAAAGCAGGTATTTAGAAAAATTGAAGGAATGCTTTCTCCCTTTCTTTCTCTCTCTCTCTCTCTCTCTCTCTCTCTAATAATTGGAATGAAGAATTGAAAACAGATGACGTGAATATTTTGCACTTTTTAATAGCCCTAGACACCTTAGGGGAAAGTATTGATCTAGCAATAACAGTGCGGTCGGAATATTGCTAACAGTAATGCTGAGAGAAATGGGGGAAGGGAAAATTGAGGAAGAAAAAGAGAAGAGAGAGAGTGTGTGTGTGTGTGAGAGAGAGAGAGAGAGAGAGAGAGAGAGAGAGAGAGAGAGAGAGAGAGAGAGAGAAAGGGGAAGAGAAGATAATAAATACCGATAAAAACGGAGAAGAGACCAAGAGAGGAAGAGGCAGAGAGAAGAGAACGGAAAGGGAGTGGAGGAGAGAAAGAAAATTCCGTCTCCAACAATAGTACACAATGCATTATTCTGGTTTCTATGGCTACGTAACGTCAGTGTGTGTTTATTTTCATGTCATCCATCGAGTCGGTTGGCTACACGTAGACCGGGTGCAATTTCAATTATAGGTCCAAAATGCTTCTTCTTTTCACACACAAGTCAACTTGTTTCAAATGCCAAGTGATAGCGTAATGAATATGCTTATCTGTAATAATACCAACAAGTAGAAATAAGCTATGTTCTTTTATTGAAGAGACGTGATTTGCTACATTTCACAATTATTGTAGATGCACGGTTATAATGAATGATGTTTCATTCTGAGCAAAAGATTGGTAAATTTGCTGTACTTAATAAAGTTGTTCATAGATGTAAAAGTATTGCTATGATAGAACCTTGTGCGACACGTTTTCATGTTTTCAATCTCCTCCTCTCCGGCAATCATGTATGGACTAATCGCTCCCAAGTAACGACTGAATTAAGATGTAAACACATTGTGTTGCTAAGCAGTCATAGTCATGTCTGACTCTAAGCTGATAATAGTGTTCACCGTTGCTATAGCGATCCCAACTGTATTTCATGTGGGATGGATGCACTCGGTGTTATTGTTTTGAATATAGAAAGCTATATCGATAGATTACAGATAAGCAGCTTTATTCAAGTTAATGATCGCATGGTATGAGGTAGCTTTCATGCAGTGACATTAAATGATACAAAGTGAGCTGGGGAGACGGGCGAAATAAAATAAGAACAAACAAATTCTAAGTGACGGCGCCGATTATCGTTATGATTATGATTAGTAATGATTTTATAAATAGTTTAAAGCAGAAAATAATTCTGAAAAATTCGGAAAGTGGACTTAAATAATAATGAAGAAAATCAGAGCACATGTTTGCATCCAGAGGTTTATCAAAATTAATTAAAAAAATAACTTCTAAAATATTTGTAAATGTTATTGTACTTTTGCGCATAAATATGTTGGTCCCTCGTTGTTGAACAGAATTGTTCCAGCAGTTCCAGAGTTTAGCCAACTTCAGTTGGTCATAACATGGCGTATATTATTTTGTCTCGTGGTTGCCCAACAAAGCAGTATTCGCCATAGTGTGCCAGACTACAACCGAGTTGACCAAACTCTCCCACTCAACGGCTCTGAGAGACGAACTCCGTAGCACACTAGATTTTGAAAGAAAACTGACAGCCTTAAGCTACAGTCCCATATACGTCCCGGACCGTCCCGGACCATCCCGGACCCCATCCGGGGTGATCCGGGATTCGGTCCGTGTTGACACCGTGTTGGCACCGGGGTGGTCCTGGATGGTCCTGGATGGTCCTGGGCAGTCCGGGAGTCGACCCCGGATGTTTTTGACGGTCAAAAACTGCCGGGGTGGTCCGGGACGGTCCGGGACAATAGTTTGATCCGGGGTGATCCGTGTAGCCACCGTGCTGGGTCCGGGGTCATCCGTAGTGGCGCCGGGGCGGTCCGTGTTGATCCGTGGCAGTCCGGGAGTGAGTTATTGACCGCCCAGGACCATCCAGGACCATCCAGGACCATCCAGGACCACCCCGGTGCCAACACGGTGTCAACACGGACCGAATCCCGGATCACCCCGGATGGGGTCCGGGATGGTCCGGGACGGTCCGGGATGTATATGGGACTGTAGCTTTTAAAGCATCACACTTTTTTGAACAAAACATCCCGGACTATCCCGGATCACCCCAGACCATGGTCCGGGATGGTCCGGAGTGGTCCGTGCTCGTCCGTGCTGGTCCGGCTTTATATGGGACTGGGGCTTTACACACCCCATGGACCTATTACGGATGGACATTCAACGTGATTCTCTTTTTGATCCAATGATAGTCACCGCCTTCTGATTATGTGCATCTTAATGAGAACATTCAGCTGTTTTAACAATAACGACTGCGTAAGCATTTTCGGTCATTGACAAAGGAGCAGTTTCCCTCTTTTGGGATTTGTTTGGATGGTGTGCTCTGTAAGAGTGTGTCGTAAATAAAAACATCCCGAATGGGGAGCAGCAAAGTTGAAAAGCAGACGATTTTGGTGATATGAAATGTATTATTACTGATTTACACACTTTCGCACACACCCATGACCTTAAAACAAGTAGAAGGCCATGATCTTTATAAGCCCTGTGCGTTGTAACTCTGGAATATTATGAGGAAATTGGTGGAAACGGGATTTTAAATCACAACCAATCCAAATATAACGTCTATCTGGTAATATCAACACGTGTATCAAAATAAAACACAGAGTACACGGAACAACAATTTCCGACTATAAACCAGAACTGCACATCGATTTTCCATAATTTAAGCGAGTTATTATCTTCTGCGCATCTAGATTAACATGTGTAAAATCACTATCTTGATTCCGTACCGGCTTTTTGGCGGTGACCATCATGAGATCAACGTGAAGAAACATGAACGGAATGTTATTGAGACGACATTGACGGAGACAATCACAATGAATTCGTTAAGAATCCGTAATAGGTCCATGCTCACCCCAAGCATATTTTGCCCGTTTCCTTTGGAAATGATAATTTACTTACCAGAAATACAGGTTCAGGGATAAGCTGAGAGTACTTCTTACTGGTAGTGATTCCGCTTCTTAGACTCACACGACGAATACGATGTCTGGAGAGAGAGAGAGAGAGAGAGATAAGTTATTACGTAATTACTTTGAAAATACTTATTGTATAGGTTCACTGATTACAATCATATGAATTAGATGTTGACCACATTATCTCAATGAATGATCGTAATTATTTATTTGAATATCAACCCAACACAATTTACATTTTCATTGTCAGGTTTTTATTTTCATCAATGAAATTGAAATATATGTGCATTAATGAATACTAACCAATTTGCAAATAGATTTAATTGGTCGTAACCAATAATTGTCTACTCTAGACCACAGCTTCATGTGAGCAAGCCTACGAAACTATCAGCATCAGAGTTAAACTAGATAATAATAGATTGAAAGTAAACAGAAGCAAAAAAAAATCAAGTAACTTATAATAATATTACACATGAAGTGAATTGAAATAGATATTTTCATTCTTACAATACAAACACAATGAATATATAAAGTATTGAATATAGTCAATCAATTCGAAGTAGAAGTACATTAAAATAATTTCATGGACACAACTCACATAAGATCGTATGAGATATGATTATACCTATATGTTTATGCTAAATGTATTTCGATGTTTTTGGAATAGTAAACACTATATTGTACTTTGCACTTTGTTAATGATAATTTGCCAACACCCCTCGCATATTGAAATGCAAATAAACACTTTTCAAACATGTCAAGCACGTGCACTGTCTGTGCAATGTGGAAAAACCCGTGACTGGTTGAATACAAACAATCTGTATCTAATTTGTATGTTGAGAGATAGGTGAATATGTTATATCCTTTTTTTTTTTGGTCTTTTTTCAAAAATAGATTTAACTGAAACTGAAACCGAAATTAAATTAATAATTTTCTATCATATGTCAGTCTATAATTTTACTGATTTGCGACATGCGTTACCTTACTTTGCCTCAAATAATAGCTACAAATGTATGATAAAAGAAGAAAGAAACTACTGTTCAATTGGCAAGATAATACCTTCTGTATATAGGACACATTAATATACACTAACAGGCTATAGTTCGCCGAATATTAATTATACTTGCTTTGTTCAAAACGGTTTGCACTCAACTCGATTATAATGAGGCCTCGTTCAGTTATGACTCTTAACATTTCGGTATCTTCATAATAAAGAGCTCAATTGCCAGTAATTGACACGTTTACACACAAAAAATCCGGCTATTTTTTCCCCGCGATTTACCTCGTCATATCTAAACAAGCCTTTAATATCCCTTTATCAAGAAACCTCCTTATTTGTATTCTTTCCAATGTCAACTGATATAGATAGATACTACACATTTGCCACACGTTCATTAATCTTGTGTTTAATATCATGAATGCAAAGTCGATTGAAATCGAGAAGGGCTACATACATCATTGACACATTAAGCGAGATGACGCTTTCTCTCTCGTAGGAACATCGTCTGCTCTTAATTAATAGACAGTGATTGAATTTTAACCCGGTTTATTCATAGCTTCCGCAGAATGAATATTGTAACAAGGCCAGTCTAGAGAAGTGCATTCTGTTTATACATACTAGATCAGGGTAATAGGAGCGCTATCCGATAGAGGTTTGATATCTGCGTACATTAACCTCAAAAGAAACTGATTCTGATTGGCCTGTGACTCGGGGGTGAAGGGATTGCTCTCACAACATCGTGACAATAAAATAGAAGTAGGATATCAAGAATGCATTCGCATGAAGCAGGTGGAATATGAAGCAATAATGAAGGGGAAAAAAGCATACTGGAACAAGAAAAAATAATGAGAAAAGAATTTAGGTGGCTATGTTGGGAAGTAGTAAGTTGTAAAAGTAATAGAGATGAAAAAATGTATTTATTGAAGAATTGAACATGACAAATTAATGCATTGTAGTTGCTTACCAGGCTTATGATTCTTAGTTTTAATGGATATACTAAGCTAGACTACTTAGAGTATAATTAAGATTAATTAGGATTCCGAATGCATAGATTGGATAGTCATCTCGAGTGGATTAAATAAGATTTGTTTCAATCTAATTAGTGTTTGATCCATCTGTGGGCGGTATGGTAGAGTATTCTCATCCCTTGAGATACTGCGTGGTATATAGAGTAAATCCCACCGATTGTATTGCTCTCACGATTCACTCTATATATCTGTCCGAGTCACACAGCGATGTGGTGCCTTGCTTTGTCATGATGGGACATTTATTTCTCTCCTCAACGCTGATTATATTAAACCCAAACCACATCCATCTAGCAATTGTTTAGATTTACGGAGGCACATCAATTTTAAGCATTTCAAAGTTGTGCATCCATGAGTGGGCGTATACTGAGTAGATTTTTTTCTGTACAATGTTCTGCCTGCGGTGTGTGTTGGTGTGTCTGTGTGCATGTGAATGAATGAGGGTGGGTGTATGTTTGTTTTGATAAGTTTTACAATATTTGTTATAATAATTTGCTTGTATGATTACTTTTGTACAGGGCCCCATTCTCACAAGCTTTGCTTTTCTTGGGGTCCTTCCGATTTTGCTGTTAATTTGTTATGTATTTTATTTTGAATTTTAATGGAAAATAAATGAAATGAAATATATTATGACTCAGCAAGAAAGACAGAATTACACCTAATTTCTTCTCTAAGTGCTGTATTATCGAGATTCATGTTATTTCCTTCTTCTGTTATGCTGCGAGCTCAAGGATAAGTGAGTCATGTCGGATGAGCGAAATACCAGAGCGTTGTTTCTTTAAGAAATGCCGATGTGACTGGGTCCTTAAGCACGTGGTATCAGATGTGCATTAAAGATTCTATTCCCTTGTGCAATCTTAAATCCCAAACATAATGACAGACTTGTCGGTATGTGAAAGAAATATTTTCATTCCCATACGGCAGTGTCCCATATGTTATACAAGGCCGTTCAATCCAATGTATGTTAATTGAATGCATTTTGATCGAGGATGCAGCTGGGTACCATATTGCCTTCGCCTTTAGCAACCCACTCACATCCAATCAAATTGGATATTATTTTGTCAACAACAATATCCTCCTCATCAGTAAACCCTCCATTCACATTCCACGGATCTCAGTATCTCATCAATGACGTAACAAAGGTAAAGCGATTGGCGTATTTTTAAATCATTATCTGAACAATGGTTCGTTCGTCTACATAAGATGTTGACATGATTATCTGAACAATGGTTCGTTCGTCTACATAAGATGTTAACATGATTATCTGAACAATGGTTCGTTCGTCTACATAAGATGTTGACATGATTATCTGAACAATGGTTCGTTCGTCTACTTAAGATGTTAACATGATTATTCTTTTGTGAAACTGATACCAGATAAGACAACACTTTATTATCAAATAAGAGCTTTCACGAGGAGGAGGAAAGAACAGTATATATAATATATGCTAAACCAAGTGGCAAAATCAGGATGCAAATTGGGTACATTTTTTCAATCCCTCCTTACCATAACATTTTTGATTACCGATTTTTTTTTAAAACTCAAAATGCCCAACTGAACAACTCATAGATTTTTTGTGTACATACCCGCATCGCTAGATTTCCAGAGTATGGTCAATGATAGTTCAGCGATATAAACAGTACCTGATGCAACACATACATAATATGCATTTTATGCTTTTGTTATCATTATCATTAATTAAAATCATATACAAACCAGATGTACCACGTTTCTTTGAGATGAGGATCTCATATTTAGCAAAGTATTTTGATTCTAATAACGGGGAACTATTTTGAGGCCACTAATGAGAGTTCTAATCAAAAGTAATTGTGAAAAAAATCAGAGGTTGAAAATGAATTACTGCAATACCGAATGAATTATAATGAAGGAAAGGAGAAAATGTCTGCGTGTCTTTGCACGTTGAGATCCTAGGTAGATATAAAACTGTTAAATCAGTAGATAAGCTTATTTCGGCGCATATCGGCAAATAAATTATTCTTGACAGCAGTGACTAGCTATTTTAATGCCATTCTTTAAAGGAGAAATAATCCCAAAGAATAAATTTAGTTGTTCAGAGAGATTTATAGCATTCTTGCCCATCAATCTGACTCCAAGATTCTCCACCAAAGTGAACGATAAAGGCATAAAGCAAGAATAAAGTACAGATTCTGAGCAAGACATGGGCATCGCCATTTTCTTGATTGCATGACGTACTATGCGGAGTCGTTTATCAACTAAATGAATCCAAATTTATGGATGATTCCTTCCTATGTGTTTGTGGCGTCGAAGCAATAATGCACCTGATATTATCATTTGTACTACAATTGCCAGAACACAAATTGAATAAAAAGTTGAAGGAGTGAAGGTTTCACATGAATGAAATAGATTTTTATCTGCTATATTTTAGTATTTTTAAATAAATGAGTTACATTAGATTGTTACCGTATGTATATATTTTCACAAATTTGTATATAAAATGTATAAAAGTTACAGTTGCATTTCGATATCATTCTTTAAGAATCATGAATATCTTTTGAACATTCCCATGTTGTTCATGAAATGTAGTTCATGTAAATTGTTTTCCATTTGATTTTAACTTTCAACAAGAATCATAAAATACTCTCCACGTTCCAACAGCCAACTAGAACTATTCCTCTTTTACGTTCTGTCTTCTTTATTTAATTTGGTTCTCTGACCGTTTTCTCTTTCTGATCAATGTACGGACGACCAGAATAATGTCCTTGTTAAAAGTCATTCCCTGGCTTGTAGGACTAAGTGATCATCTCCTTGTATTAGATATGGTTTATCAAATCAAACGACATTGAACAAAGCAATTACAACTCCTACACTGACCTAAGAATTAACATGTAGGTCTACAAATACACTTCATTCGAGTTGTCCTGAGAGATTTAAAAGAGGTTCAAGAACCTTCTGTTTATCGAAGCATGTAACAATCAATCGATAGCTCTACGTCTTATCCAAGTGAATAGAATAGTTTCTCAGTTGACTAATCCCTTTCAAGCAGTGATTTGGCCAGGTGTCTTGACAC